AGTCTCTTCCGATCATCTTTTTCTCTTTGGAGGATTTACCACTGAAAAACAGCCACTAAGTGAGTCCTTTCAATATATATTATCATCATGTATCATAATCACTCAGTAGCAGTATACTACTATATATACTATTCACTGAAATTCAGTCCTAGCTGTACCCTTTCAGGGTGACTTCATGTTGACCCTGTAACACCTTATAATTGTACATATTAAATACATGCTGCTTGGTTAAAAAAAATGACTTGGAACCCTTCAAATCCCTGCTGAAAGGTTGTACAAGCGGGAGCCTTACTTCTGTAACCACAGAGGACAGGGACTAGGATTGACTTGATGTGCTTCTTGTTAAAGCTGTGCCCTGTATGTGACACACTGACAGGATGAACATACTTCATAGCTTTTCCTTTGTTTAATCAGGTGATGCCTGGACTTACTGCATCAGTAAAAATGAATGGATTCAGTTTAATCATCCTTATACTGAAAAGCCAAGGTATGAACTACCTGAAAGGTATAATTTCTTACAGTTAATTAGTAAGTCCCATGAGTGTACAGAACTGGTAAGAACTGAAGATGTTTTGGCTAGATTTTATCCAACATGCTTAGGAAAATCTGGTGCTCATTAAGGTTTCATGTCATACTTCCCAAAAGAAGATCAACCAATATTACCTGAGTGTCCAGAGCTTGCTTTCTCCCCATCTATATGAAGAACACTGGTAATGCTTTAAAATTTTCAAGCATGTACATGGGGAAAAAAAAATCAAACCAAAGAATTGTTCACTAGTTTGTAGTAGCATTATTCAAGAAAGATTAAGTACAACTGTTTTTAAAAGCAGGAAAAAAAGTGCTGTATGAGGAGACACGTACCTGTAGTCCCAGCCCTTTGAAGCTAGGAGGAGGATCAGGAGATCAAGGGTTCTGGGCTACATGAGATACTCTAAAAAAGTTTTTTGTTTTTTTTTTCCTTTTTAAATACTGATGGGATATTTTTAGTCTCCAAAGGAATTGCTATAGGCAATTATATACTTAGCATTGGTATTTAAAGTGAATTTAAATATGCCAGCCTCCATTCTTTTCCCCTAACCCAGGTATAGTCAGTCATTCTGCTAAGACATTTGGCAGAAATGACCGTTCCACAGAATTACCCAGCTTGGAAAGCTTTAGTAATTTCAGTCTTTGAGACACGTGAGTGCGAGGCCAGCTCACCCTGCCACTGCTTAGCCCCTATGCATAAGACTTTCATTGCTAACAAAGACCTTGATTATTTGGTTAAAATCCCTCATTATGTGTCCCTGGCTGGCCTGAACTCATTATGTAGATCAGATTGGCCTCAGATTTAGAGATCTACCTCCACTTCCAGTGTGCTGGGATTCAAGGTGTACAACACCAAAGCCAGCCTTATGAAAAGCTTCTTTTCCTTGAGATTGGATTTCTTACCATATTTGGTCTGAACTACTTTGAAATCTTTTTTGTGTTTTTTTTCAAGACAGGGTTTCTCTGTGTAGCTTTTGGAGCCTGTTCTGGAACTCTCTGTAGCCCAGGCTGGCCTCTAACTCACAGAGATCCACCTGGCTCTGCCTCCTGAGTGCTGGGATTAAGGGCATGCGCCACTGCCTGGCGAAATCTCTGTCTTTCTATCACTAGCTCTACAATGTAGTTAAAGTAATCAGCTTGGACTTTTGAGTTACATTGAACTAAAGCTTTTTTTGGTTTTTCAGAGACAAGGTTTCTTTTTTTTTTTGGTTTTTCGAGACAGGGTTTCTCTGTGTAGTTTTGCGCCTTTTCCTGGAACTCACTTGGTAGCCCAGGCTGGCCTTGATCTCACAGACCCGCCTGGCTCTGCCTCCCGATTGCTGGGATTAAAGGCGTGCGCCACCACCGCCCGGCCTGAGACAAGGTTTCTTAAGTGTAGCCCTGACTATCCTAGAACTCGCTCTGCAGACCAGGCTGGTCTTGAACTCACAGAGATCCACCTGCCTCTGCCTCCCAAGAGCTGGGATTAAAGGTGTGCACCAGCACCGCCCGGCTCAAACTTCTGTTTTACGTGCAGGTTATGGCATACAGCTTGTGCAAGCGATGAAGGGGAAGTCATTGTCTTTGGTGGCTGTGCAAACAACCTGCTGGTCCACCACAGAGCTGTGAGTATACTTCACTGCTGTTGCACATGGGATACATCATGTCGTGTGTGCAGCACATGTGCATGTGTGCCGTGGGAGGAGGAGGACAGTACTTGCAGTTAATGCTGCCCTAACATGACGTGGGTTTTGGGAATCCAACTCAGGTTGTCATCCAAGGTGACAAGAGCCTTTAGCAGATGAACCTTGCTGGGCTTATTTATGATTTTTCCAGACAGGGTTTCTCTGTGTAGCCCTCTCTGTAGACCGGACTGGCCTTGAACTCAAGCGATCCATACGCTTCTGCCTCCTGAGTGCTGGGAATAAAAGTGTGCACCACAACCACATGGCTGTAAAGTGTGATGGTTGTTTTGCCTGCATGTATGTCTACGTGCCATATGCATGCAGTTCTCATGGAGACCAAAAGAGGGTATCACATCCCCTAGAGCTGGGGTTGCAGGTGCTTGTGAACAGCCCCATGTTGGTACTGGGAACTGAACTCAGGTCCTCTGGAAGAGCAGACAGCTGAGCCCTCTCTCTCTCCAGACCCTCTTTTTCTGAACACGAGGACTGAACGCTAAGTAGCACTTCAGCACTGAGCTGTATTATCTATTAACCAGCTCTGGGTGCAGCTCCTACACTAGCTGGGCTCAGACCTGTCTTTGCCTCCGAGAGCTGGGCTTACAGGAGTGTACCACACCAGCCTTTCAGCACTTGCATTTGAACATGGTCTTCCTTTTTTCCAGGCACACAGTAATGAAGTACTTATATTTTCAGTTCAACCAAAATCTCTTGTACGGTAAGTTCTTACCAGGTACTTGGTACCAGGTAGATGGTTATTTAAAGGCAATAATGAATCTTCATTCAAGTTAATGTAAAATTATTTTTCTCTTTCCTTGTTCACTTTTAGGCTAAGCCTAGAAGCAGTCATTTGCTTTAAAGAAATGCTAGCCAACTCGTGGAACTGCCTTCCAAAACACCTCCTTCACAGTGTTAATCAGAGGTTCGGTAGTAACAACACTTCTGGATCATAAGGCTTCACAGATAATAATTCTGATCTGCTTGCATGGAAAACAACCCTGTATTTGTCACAGAGTGGCATCCATTGTATAATTATATTCATTGTTGTAGTTTGCAGCTTTCTGGGTTTTATGTGCATGTGAATGGCCTAGAGAACCTATTTTTGTGTCTAAAGTTTACAATAAATGTATTTAACACCAGTACTTGTCCATTGTTAAAGTTTAAAAAAAAATTACTGCATTGGCTTTTTATACCAAGAATGGGTATAATATTTTTTACATTTATCTTTTGATAATTTGGATGTAATGTAGAAAATGCTACATTTTTAGTCTTTCACTTATGTAACCAAGGCTGGTCTTGAATATTAATACTCCAGCCCCCAGCTCTCAAGTGCTAGGATTAAAAGCGTGCTATCACACCTGGGTGTGTTGATGGTGGGGGCAGAGGAAGTGAAAGTCTTATACAGCCCAAGCTACAATTAACTTAGTACTTCAACCTTAATGTGTTGGTGTGATCCTGGAACAGGCGGTCATGTTTACTGTCCAGTTAATTAAAGTGGCAGTTTGTACCTCATGAAGGAACAGAGATAAACCAAATGACTTTATTCTGTTCTGGTAGGGGAGAGAAATCTGGGCCAGGAATCTTTAGTGGTAAGCCTAAAAAGTGCACTTCTGATGTTATAGGTTAGGACACTACTTGATGGCTGCTAGGGATGGAAAAGAACCTGGCACACAACTGAACAACATTCCACAGAAGAAATTAGGGTGGAAGGGATGTATATGAACACACGGAAAGAACTGTCATTTTCCTCTAGGTGTTATTTTTTTGCATTTGATGGAAAACTTGATAAAATTTTCAAGACACAAACCCTGAATGTTTAATTGCCCCCAGAAAACCAAACAAACCCCTCATGATTGGTTGTAATATGTGTATTAGATGTTAAATACAGTAGACCTCTGGTCAGTAGTTAATGCAGCTGAGCCACGTCAGGTCTTTACATCATTAAATGAAACCTCAAGAATTTCAATAAAATGTAGAACAATTACAGATGTGTATCACTGAACTTTTCACAAATAGTTTAGGAAATACTATTGTAATAGTTTATATATATATATATATACATATATATATAAAACTTGAAAAAAACTCTTAAGTCCTTTTGGTGATATAGCAAGGCAATTTGTAAATGTGGAAGTCCTGTTAACATGTCTGCATCCTTGAACTCCCAAGGCTATAAAATTGGCTCTTCACAGTGTTTCAGGATTTCATTTTGGCTATTTTCTTTTTACATGAAGAAGATTAGGTGCAGAGACTTTCACTTTGCCAGGAATGTTTCTTGATAAATCTGTGTCCTAAAAAAAGAAAAGTGCTTAATATCCCATGTAGTAAATCATATTTAGGATAATTATGTATACTCTACTGTCAGAAGAAAGGCATTTGTAACTTTGCTGAGTTGATTGTACTTATTTATGGTTCCTAATAAGACAGTACTTTATTAAGACAATAGAAATGATCTCAGTCACACCACCAGAGTTTTGAAGGAAAACTTTACCTTCACACTGCGGAATAAGTCTTTTTCTCTTGCTGTTGCTTCTTTGGAATGCATGAAACTATTCAAGGCCGTTTTTGCAGCTGTAAATAGAGATCTGAAGAATGTACTTCTGGTTCAGTCACTTAAACTATTTTAAAATTACAACTAAAATCCTAAGTTACCTTTCCCCTTTTTCTGAACTCCAGGAGTAAGTTTCACTTTGTATCTTAAAAGAAAAAAAAAATTGTATGAGTTACTACATAGAGATCGTAAAGAGATTTCTCATAAAGGCATTGTGACAACTATCATGAGTGAAGTAATGGTGACTTACTTATAATTTGTCATGGTGGTATAAGGGGCACATATTGGAATAGCAAACATTAGTATGTCTTCAGGATGTGGCTGCCCTGTCAAAGAATCAAACAGATTTTCCTAAAGAGGAAAATAAAAACAATTATAAAAGGAATTTATGCCAAACTGAAAAAGAACAGTATGTGTCGGGTGGAGGTGTTGAATAGCAAAGCCCTGCCCAATGTGCAGACCCTTTCTCATACCACACCATCATAAGGCAAAGGCAAGATCTAAAATAAAACAAGTTAGCATCTAAATGTATAATACAGATTTAGCTTTTCTGACTGATTGACAGCAGTGCCCAAACTCTGCTTTATAGTTCCCAAGAACTGAAGAGTAATGTTTCAATATATATTCTTTACAACTTTGGACTGCGATAGTCAACAATGGGACAGTTGTCAAAGCACCATTTAATGACTTAGAGAGAGGCAGGACGACAAGTTGGACACTGCAACTAAGCAGGGAGGGAAGCGACTGTGGATTCAAAAGATGCACACTAAGGACTGCAAGGAAACAGGACTTCAACGTGGGCCACACCAGTGACTGTTCTTTGTCCTGTGTAGAAGCCTCTATTAATCTCCAACTTAATTTTTACTGAGCTCAGAGCTCACAAATTGGGCAAGCCTAGTTGGTCAGGAAGTTCCAGAGAGCCTTTTGTTTCCACTTCCTTAGTGCCAGGGTTTTCATGTGGGTGCTAGGGATTGAATTCAGGTCCTCGTGTGCATGGCAACCACTCTACAGACTGAGCTATCTCATGAGACAAAACAGTCGCATGCTGGGCAGCCTCTGGCCATCCTAGTACTCATTATTGTAGACCAGGCTGACATAAAACTCACAGAGATCTACCCACCTCTGTCTCCCGAGTACTGGGATTAAAGGCGTGTGCTCCCACACTTGGGCTAGACCAGTGATTCTGGACTGGGATTTTGCCCCTGCTACAGGAGACTCACCAATATCTAGACATAGTTTTGGTTTTCAGAATGAAAGGATTGGCATCTAATGGGTTAGGGTAATCAATTTATAATATGTTATACAGGCCTGACAACAAAGGATCATACTTTCCAAAATGTTAGCGGTGCTAAAGTTGATGAGAAAGCCTAGGCTACTCTCTCTCGCTTTTTTTTTTTTTTTTTCGGAACAGGGTTTCTCTGTGTAGCTTTGCGCCTTTCCTGGAACTCACTTGGTAGCCCAGGCTGGCCTCAAACTCGCAGAGATCCGACTGGCTCTGCCTCCTGAGTGCTGGGATTAAAGGCGTGCGCCACCACTGCCCGGCCTCTCTCTCTTTTTAATGTATGTGTGTTTATGTGTCAGAGAGAGAGTGTATTGTGTGTGTGTACTTGTGTGCACCCATGGAGACCAGAAAAGGACATCAAATCTCCTCTAAAGCTAAAGCTACAGCTGGTTTGGAGTGGCCCCATGTAGAGGCTGGGAACTGAACTTGGGTCCTCTGGAAGGGCAGCCAGTGTTCTTAACTGCTGAGCCTCCTCTGTTCTTTTTTTTTTTTTTTTTGGTTTTTCGAGACAGGGTTTCTCTGTGTAGCTTTGTGCCTTTCCTGGATCTCGCTCTGTAGACCAGGCTAGCCTCGAACTCACAGAGATCTGCCTGCCTCTGCCTCCCGAGTGCTGGGATTAAAGGCGTGCGCCACCACTGCCCGGCTGCCTCCTCTGTTCTTAAGGAGAACTTTCAGAACTCCTTAAACTAGTTCTCATTTGTAGACTATCTACAAGGGCAAAACACTTGGTGCTGAACTTTAAAGTAATTTACAGAATACTTTAAAAAGTGATTATTATCCTAATAATAATAATAATACTGAGGCACAAAGGAAGGGGAGGGATAAAGAATATTTTCAGGGGGGCTGGAGAGATGGCTCAGAGATTAAGAGCACTGACTGCTCTTCCAGAGGTCCCGAGTTCAATTACCAGCAACCACATGGTGGCTGGCAACCATCTATAATGAGATCTGGTGCCCTCTTCTGGTGTGTGGACATGCATGCAGACAGAACACTGTATACATAATAAATAAATCTTTAAAAAAAAAATATTTTCAGGCTAGGTACAGTAATGTACACCTTTAATCCCAGCTCCGAGGAGGCAGAGGCAGGCATATCTCGAGTTCAAGATATTTCAACAACACAAAGCAAGTTCCAGGCCAGCCAGGGCTACATTCTCAGAATGTATGTCAAACAACAAATACAAGAACAGCTTGAGATCTGCACAGTTCCTTCAGCTGTCTTTACTTTTCAGTTCTGAATACTATCAGCCATTCTGGCAGAGATTACAGTGAGATGGACAGAAACCCCCACTCAAATCATACCTCATTTCCTTGCTGATCCAGATCATGCTCTTCCTAGTTCCAAACATAAAGATTAAAGTCAGATATGAAATTTTGTACCAATAAGCCAAAAGCAGAAAGAAATTGATATAATAAGGCTATTGTGTAACTCATAAAATAGGAAATTGTAGAATACAACTTAGGTCCCCTAAGACTCTAAAGTGAATCAGTGTGTACGTATTTAATACTTTAGAAAGCATTGCCATTGAAAGAGAAAAATAAGGTTTTTTTAATCAGTGTGACAAAATCTTTTATTTAAAGTATATGCTGAAGTCGTGTTAAGTTGTAGAGACAACCTGAAGTAAGAACTAAGTTCAATATTTGTACAGAAAATAATCTTACAAAAAGAACTTCAAAAAAACGTTTGCCAACAATATTGAGGTAAGTTTAATTTTGTGTATTTAAGTTATGTGGACAATACCTATTTGGAGACAAACTAGTCTCAGTCTGTTTAGGCTGCTGTAACAAGAGACTTCAGAGTGCACAACTATTTAAATAATAAATTTACACCTAACAGTTCTGCAGGCTAAAAGTTCAAGATCAGGACAGCAGGTTTTGTGAAGACTTGCCTCAAAATGGTACCTTAGTAGAGTATGGTAGCATACACTTGTAACCCCAGCCCCTAAAAGGTCCAGGCATGAGGAGTTTTCTCAGCAACAGCAAGTTTAGGACCAGTCTGTGCCGCATGAGACTTTATTTATTTTGTTTTTTTGTTTGTTTGTTTGTTTTTGAGACAGAGTTCCTCTGTGTGGCCCTGGCTGTCCTGGAACTCACTCTGAAGACCATGCTGGCCTCAAACTCACAGAGATGCACCTTTCTTTGCCTCCTGAGTGCTGGGATTAAAGGTGTGCACCACTACTGCCAGGCCCCTAAAGCTCCACTTGTTAATATTACCACACTGGCATTTAGACCATAATCCACACCCATGAAAGAAGATTAATGATACCTCTTAGGAATTTTTCCCTTTGCATGACTTGCTACTTATCTTAAGGTGGCCTCATACTTGCGCTCCTTCATTCTGCTTTGGCTTTTGAAGTGCTGGAATTCTAGCTATATGTCACCATATCTGGCATGGATATTTTTGAGCCTAAAGTTTATAGATAAAACTACAGATATGGTAATAGTATAAAAACTTGCGAACCAAAATGAAATTTAGAACCAATAACAACACTGTCCAGTAGAGGAAAAAGGCTACTGACAAGAAATCCCTATAAACGTCTCACTAGTGAAGGTGTAATTCAAGTTAACTAAAAACAGTTAAACAGCTGACAGAGTCCAGATTACAGTGATCATTACACGTGACAACCCTCAGCCTGTACTTTATACACATGTACAGAGTCCAGATTACAGTGATCATCACACGTGACAACCCTCAGCCTATACTTTATACAGATGTATTTTTAAAAGCTCAGCATTTCAAGAATGTTATCTATGCACAAAGATATACTTAACTGTGGCTTTTAAATGATTTATTTGATAAAGCAATTAAGTAACTACCTTAGCTGAAAAAAATGTTCTTCCTGCTTCTATGACTGAGACCTAACCCCTGATAATATAGTTATTTTTAATATTATATAACATGATAAAGCTTATAATCCTATAGAAAAGCTTGAAAGTAGAAGCTTATTTTCTTCTCAAGATAAGCCCAATACTTTCTCTTATTTTCACTGAGTTCCACTGGCATTTAGAAATCATGTGAAACCTCTCCCATAAAACTGTTATTTTGTGTGTGCTATGTGCATGGACACTTGTGTCCTCTGGGGAGGTCAGAGGGCAATCTTGGATGTCATCAGGAACACCATCTACTGTAAGATAAGATCTTTCACTGGCCTGGAGCCTGCTTAGTGGTCTCTGCTCCTTGGCCAACAGCCTCCCGAGTGTGGGGATCCTAAGCACATTAATTACACCTAGTTCTGAGGCTACAACTAAGGCCCCGTGGCAAGCATTTTATAAAATGCCTTCTTCCTAGCTCCAGACTAATTTTCCAAAGGTTTCTAATCAATTTATTGGCTGCACATTTTTATGAAACTAATTTTAGCCTCTGAGGCTTTGCTTCTAAGATGAAGACTGTAACCTTGTCACCCCAGGTTGTGGTCACCCCACTTGGGAACACTTACCTTGTCATCCTGAGGATCATCTACAGCTAAGTCTTGTAAGTCATGAGTTACAACTTGAAGGGATGGAGGTTCCTTCTGAACGGCATCTAAAGCCCGCTGCGGTCTACCTGTGGGTCTCTGTGGCTGTTTCTTCACAGGTTCATCCTTCGTTTTTCCTTTCTTTCCTTTCTTCCCCTTTTCTTCTTTGTTTGAACCTGCAGACTTTGAATTCATAAGGGGAAAATCCATGTAATTATTACTACGGTTTTTAAATCATTTTAATGTTTTGAATCCATTTTTTTCTTTTTCCTTACATTTTTGTGTATGTTTATGAGTATAGGGGTGTCCATGTCATATTATACATGTGGAGTTCAGAGGACAATATGGAGGAGTTAGTTTTTGCCTTTGAACATGTGAGTTCTAGGAGCTAAATTCAGGCTGCCAAGCTTGGTGACAAGTGCCTTTAGCCACTGAGCCACCTCACTGGCCCAAATATTGTTAAGGTTTTAAATGTTTATCATAGCCTAGATGCCCAATGAAAACCAAGAGAAATGATTTAAGATGTTACTCACTGCTAGCAATTTCATAATAAGTTCACGATCTTCTTCATCCTGGTCTTTGTATTTTTCCTTCATTTTTTTCATTTTACTCTGAAATCAAAAGATTTGGGGAAAAAAAGCAATAAACCATTATTATTTTAAATGCCTCCTTCATTCTATCAAATAGCTTTTGAACAAGGCACCAACCATTGTAAAGAACAATCAGTATGGAGGACAGGAAGATGAGTATACCATAGCCCTCATCCCTTATGGAATCTGCCATATGAGACAGCAGACAGATATACAAGTAAGGGTAAATCACCACAACTTATTTGCAATACAAGTGCCCTTCTCCCACTGTCTACGAGCCTTCCTTCTTGGGCTCCTCTGCAAGAATGGTACAAGAGGTCCAGTGGATCCCTGAGTAGGTGGAGGGCCAGAACTGAGCAGGCTCCTCTAAGTGACTCCACAGGTGACTTAGGTTGTTAGTGACACACACTGGCAGCCCTCTTGTCAGAACATGCATCTCCTGTTTCCTGCTTCCCACTGTCTGAAGCAAATGATGGCCCCTGGGATGGTCCTGGCACAGTGAGGACATGACATCTACATCACAATTACTGCCTTGTCCAACTTTCAAATCCCAGTGCAGCAACAACGAAGGGAGGTGTTCTCTACCGTGTCAGCCTCCGTGCTAGCACTCAGGACTTCTCAGCTACGTTTAACATCAGGAAGTTGGTATGTGTTAGCAGAAGCTCTTTCCCGGGACACCTGCATCAGGTCCAGTCTTACCTTTCCAGCTTTCAGTCTCAGAATTAAAAACACTTAGAAGTTACTGTATGTATATGGGTGTTCTGCCTGCATGTGTATCTGTGCACCACTTGCATGCCTGGTGCCCCCCAGAGACCAGCAAAGGGGGTTGGAGCTCCTGGAACTGGCCACGCAAGTGCTGGACTTGGACCTGGGTCTTCACCCGCGAGCCACACTCCACTGTCGGATCCTTCAGAAGCACACTTCTTACCTTCTGTCCTCTTTTCATGGGCTGCCCAGCTGCAGCATTTCTGCTGGTGTTCTGGTAAGCTTCAGTGTGCACAGCATTTTCCTTTTCTTTGTCCTTCCCGTCCATCACTTCCAAATCCCCTGAGTCACTTGGAAGCTTTTTCTTTTTCATTTCTCTAAATAGAAACCAAGCAGAAATACCCAATTTTAAGAATGTCAAATGTGGGGCTGGAGAGATGGCTCAGAGGTTAAGAGCACTGACTGCTCTTCCAGAGGTCCTGAGTTCAATTCCCAGTGACCACATGGTGGCTCACAACCATCTGTAATGAGATCTGGCGCCCTCTTCTGGCCTGCAGTCATACATGCTGTATACATAATAAATAAATAAATCTTTAAAAAAAAAAAAAAAAGAATGTCAAATGTGCCCTAAAAATGTGTAAAGGAAAGGGGAACAGCACAATGTTTGCCTCTTTAACTTAATAATCACCAGACCACTGCATACAAAGAGGCTCACATTATCAGGTAAGAAAGAACTGAAAAATCTTTCAAAGATTTATCATTCTGTCATCTAGATTCAAAAATATTACTTCTTGTAGCTGGAGAATTTCTCTTCAGCTCCCGCCAAGTCCCGCCAGTCCCAGAGCCCACTTATAAAATAAACACACAGACTCTTACATTATTTAAACTGCTTGGCCCTTAGCTCAGGCCTATCATTGTCCAGCTCTTACTCTTATATTCAGCCCATTTCTATTAATCTATACTTTGCCACGTGGCTCGTGGCTTACCGGTACCTTACATCTTCCTTGTCCTGGCGGCGGCTCCAGCCGGTCTCTCCCTTCCCTTCCTGTTTCCTCAATTCTCCTGTTAGTCTCACCTATACTTCCTGTCTGGCTATTGGCCAATCAGTGTTTATTTATATAGAACGATATCCACAGCACTTCCCCTTTTCTTCTTTTTCAAAAAAGAAGGTTTTAACTTTAACATAGTAAAATTACATTTAACATGTCTAGCTCTTACTCTTATAACTTCTGCTTATCCCTCCTCAACTACACATTCATTTATTCAACTGATAGGCAGACACCGGGACTTCTAGTATTCTATCAGCATGGCTTTGCCAGATCTTGGATATTTGATACATTTGTTGACTAGCTGGTGGAATAAATAAGTGTATCCAAACATAAACACATTAAGGAAGAAGGGTACATTCTGTTGCTTTGGCATCTTTCTATTCCCAATGCTATTATCTTAGTCCAGGTCCTCACTGCTCTTAGACTTCCTCTGTATTCCTTAAAACTTTCTGTTTCCTTACCTAAGTCATAGTCCCACTGAAAAATTTCCAAATTTCCCCTAATATCACTTGTAAAATAAATTTCCAAGTCCTCTTATTTTTAATCTAAATTTACCTTCTAATCTAACCATCTATGACTTTATAACATATACACAAACTTTTTCTTTCCCCTCAAGTCTATTTATCATTTTTCCAAAGTATCACATATACATTTTACTTCCAAACCTCTCTGTCCTTGTTTTAGTGGTAGTTCTCCTTGGAGTCTCTCTTTACCTTCAAGTACCTCCCTGCTAAAATATCTAAGGTATATTTCTTGTTTTTGTTTTGGTTTGGTTTTGGTTTTTCGAGACAGGATTTGTCTGTGTAGCTTTGTGCCTTTCCTGGATCTTGCTCTGTAGACCAGGCTGGCCTTGAACTCACAAAGATCCGCCTGCCTCTGCCTCACGAGTTCTCGGATTAAAGGCGTGCGCCACCACCGCCCGGCTAGGTATACTTGTGTGTCTGTGCATGGAGAGTTCAGAGGACGGTAAGTGTTCTGCTCCATCAAACTCTGCCTTATCCCCTTGAGGCAGGATCTCCCACTGAACTGGGAGTTTCTTTATCTTTTTGGTTTATGACTAAGCTGGCCAGCCAGCAAGACCCAAGAAACCTCCTGTTTTTCCCTCCTATTACTGAGACAACATGTGCTCACTGATGTGCTCAGCTTTCTACAAGAGGACTAAGAATTGGAACACAGGTCCTTACGCACACCTGACAAATACTTTACTTACCTAATCCATCTCTAGGCTTTTGTGTTATTCAAAATTTTCCTAGTTAATTTTAAAAATTTCTATTTATTCTTATTAATATCCTAGAATTAAAGAGGGGGGAAAAAGGGAAGGGCAAGAGAGGGTAGGAGAGAAAAGGGAAATAAGATCAAAGCATGGGGCCTAGAGAGATGGCTTAGTGGTTAAGAATATGACCGACTGCTCTTCCAGAGGACCCAGGGTTCAATTCCCAGCACCCACATGGCACTCCCAACTGTCTGTAACTCCAGTTCCAGAGAACAGAATACCCTCACACAGACATACATGCAGACAAAACACCAATGCACTTAAAATTTAAAAGATAAATAATTTAAAAAAATCAAAGCATGGTATAGAAATGTATGGAAATATCACAGTGAAATTCATTAACCTGTACAACTACTATAAATGAATTTTTAAAAACTTATATCTGTAATGTTCTATAATCACTGTACATGGTTACATAATAAAAGGTCTGTTTTACTACTTATTTATCTCACCTATCACAGATGAGTCTTAGATACAAAAAAACCACATTAGAGTTGGACAAAAAGAATCTTGCTGATAGCCAGGCAGTGGTAGTACATGCCTTTTTTTTTCTTCTGTTAAGATTTATGTATTTATTTTATGAGTGCTCTACCTGCATGTAGGTCTTTATGCCAGAAGAGGGCATCAGATCACTATAGATGGTGGTGAGCTACCATGTGGTTGCTGGGAATCAAACTCAGGACCTCTGGAAGAGCAGCCAGTGCTCTTAACCACTGAGCCATCTCTCTAGTCCCCAATGGTGGTGGCACACGCCTTTCATCCCAGTACTAGGGAGGCAGAGGCAGGTGCATCTCTGAGATCTAGGTCAGCCTGGTCTATAGAAGCAAGTTCAGGACAGTCAGGGCTACACAAAAAAACCCCTGTTTTGAAAAACAAAACAGCAACAAAAAAGAATTTTAGTGATTAAGGAGTCTTCAAAATAGTCAAATATGTGTTAGCTAAGTTATTTTAAAGATTAGATTTATTGGTTATTTTCTGTGTAGATGATGTGTGAATACAGGCACACACATGCTATGGCATACATGTGGAGATCAGAGGACAACCCTCAGGAGTCAGTTCTCTCCTACAATGAGAACTGGGGATCAATAAGGTTATCACGCTCATACAGCACACATTTTCACCCTTTCAGTCATAAAGCACTTTTACCTTCTTTCCTTGGCTGACAAATGTCTTCGGCTCTGTGACTTACTGTCATTCTATTAAAACAAAAACAAGGAATCATGAGACCATTACTATTATTTTTTTCAAAAGGTAAATTTTAAGAGAAAATTATTCAGAGAAACACAATTTTTTTTTAAACGTAACTTCAAAAACAGCTTACTGAATTAGAAGGTTCTTCCTTGGAAGCCAGTTTCTGCAGAGGCCTATGAAAACAAAAGAATTTACTAGCCTATGAAAGCCATTCAGTTAAGTCCTCAAACTCCCATCTTACTTAAAATCCTACAAACCTTCAAATTTGACAAAACACAACCAAATCATCTTCCCATGCTTTTATATACATTCTTCATGTAACATGTATTAAATCTTTTAGAGACAAACAGTCCTTGAACTCTCTATGTAGCTGGGGATGACCTTGAACTTTTGCTCTTCCAATCTCAGGTACGCAGCATTACACCCACTTGTACAGCTGATATCTCACTCTGTGCTAGCTGCTGCTAGATGCTGTGCACGAATCTTCACCGAAACCCTGTGAAAGGGATACTCCATTTTCTAAGATAGAAATCAGTGCTTAAAGTAGCTTACTCAAGGACACAAAACCAAAAAAAAAAAAAAAAAAAAAAAAAGGACACACCCTAAAGACTTAATTTTGATCTGTCTGACTTCTACTAATAATGCTTTAAACAAAAAACAAACCAACAATAAAAAATTATCTTCTGTGGTGGTGCCTGCCTTTAATCCCAGCACTTGGGAGGCAGAGGCAGGTGGATCTCTGTGAGTTCGAGGCCAGCCTTGTCTAGAGAGCGAGATCCAGGACAGCCAGGGCCACACAGAGAAACTCTGTCTTGAAAACAAAAACAAACAAACAAAAGATTGACTGATTTGTGAGACAAGGTTTCTCTGTGTAGCACTGTTCTGGAACTCACTCTGTAGAGCAGACTACCACCTCTGCTGAGACTAAAGGTATGTGCCACTACACTCAGCTTTAAGATTGATATTTAATTACGTCTATGTGTCTGTATGTGCAAATGAGTGGAGGTAACCAGAAGACAGCCCTGGATTCCCTGAAGCTGGAGTAACAGGCAGTTGTGAATGGTCCAGCAGGGGTGCTGGGAACCAAGCTCAGGCACCCTACAAAAGCAATACTTTCTTCTGAGTCATCTATCTCCTGGCCCTGCCATCGCTGCAGTATTTTCCAATCAACGTTTTAGTAGTCTTCTCTCCCACCATCTCCTGGCTCCTCTAGGAACCCCTCACTGCAGTCTCTCTTCCTCTGTCACGGTCTGGGTCCTTTTGCACCGCCCCCGGGGATTCCATGCTTCTTCATCATTTATTTTGACCCTCTCCTGGCCTCCTTTCTAGAGTTTTAGGCTTTACTCCATACCCATTTCTATAGACATAGAGACAAAGATCTGCATATAGGAGAGAATGTGGCTTTTGTCTTTCTGAGTTTGGATCACTTTGCTTAATATTTCATTTTCCAGATCCATTAATCTTCCTGAAAATGTCATAATTTGCTTTTGCAATGCCGGTTTAATCCCAGGTTTCTAAGCACGCCAAGCAAACACTCTACCACTGAGCACATCCGGAGCCTGCTTGTTTCTAGTCTGACCTACTTTGGCTACTTTATGTACTTTTTTCCTGTGGTCCTGGGCCTTCCAGCAGGAGACCAATCAAATGCTGACAAAGTCAAAACACAGAGGAGGGTGAAAGGACCTGCATAACCCCGCGTGACGTAACATGGTGAAGTCATCTTAGGGACACTGTTTTATGGGCTCCCTCAACACCATTTCCAGTCTATAAAGGAACTCCACTCTGTCCACAGTTACCTCTGGGACTGCAGGTGGGACAGGTCAATGGTGGTGTCAGGATAATCGAAGGTGTCCTCCTCCTCCTCCTCCTCCTCCTCTTCCTCACCCTTCGTCTCACCAACCGGCTCCTCATCTTTCGTGACTTTGTTGGCTTCTTCATCTTCAGAGCTTTCTTCAGGTATCAATTCCTCACTTACTTCATCCCGGCCACTCTGAGCAGCCACGTCCTCCCGTTGGAGCTGAGTCCCGAGTTCTCCTTCTGCAGGAGTTCCATGGAGCTCCTCTCTCTCCTCTTCACTGCTGTCACCCCCGTCTGTAGAAGTCCAAAGGAAAGTCAGGATGCAGCTCCCACCGAAGCCACTCGATCCCAACGATTCCTAGGTTGCCCAAAAGGTCACCAAAACTTCCTGGTCATCTCCACAATGTATTATACTCTATTCTGACAAAAGGACAGTTCTGACATGACCAAGATCATTCTACCACAGATGGACATTGCTATTATTTCTGTAACAAACCTAAGTTTTCTGCCACAGCTACTTCTAAAAGGCAAGACGGTAAAAGTAGTTGTATGAATTCTACAGTTTTATTAATTTGCAAATGAAATCCAAGACACATTCATTATATAACTAATTTCACACTTAAGTGAAAGAATACTAATACTAATAACTGGGTCCGATTGCCATCTTTCAAGGATTATCATGAAATTAAGTAATATATATTATTGTTATTCATATATCACTTTATGACAGGGAAATGGTAGGCATCAATCAATAGACTCTAATACACAGTAGTTTTAAATTAAGCAATGCAATATGACTCCAAAAAGGAATGACCCTAGGAGAGAGGATAACCACAGAAGTAGTTCACGGTACCCTTTCTCTAGGTAGTAGATCTCTCTACTTGAGGCAAATATATTATTTAAAAAAAAAAAAATCAATCAAAGCTGGGCATACTGGCTTATACCTGTAATATCAGAATTTGAAAACTGAGTCAGGATGGTAGTCAAAAGCCTGGCCTGAACCAAAACTCTCATATTAGAAATTATACTTGAGATAAATTCATCTTCCTATCACTTCTAACTCCTAAACCCAAAAAGAAATGTTAATTCATATTTATCCAAGTTTATCTGTTAAATATATTTACAAGATATCCATTAAATGCTCAAGTTTTACCAAAAGTATTTTGGTGATGTATTTCATTAACTATTTTTTAATTCATTAGAATATTTTTTCAATCCCTAGTATAAAAAAATTCAGCATTTCCAGAAACGAAAATCAGTAAAACTGATAGTACTTTGGGCTACTTTTGAAATTCTGGTTATCACAGAAAAGACACAATTTCTTAAGATTTAGAAATAAAACCCGAGAGTGAACCTCACGAGGCTTGACTAGATCTGATGATGAATTCTAGAATCCTAGCACTGAGAGACAAAGCCACAAGGATTGATGCAAGTTCAATGCCATCTGATCCATATGATAAGCTCCAGGTAAGCCAGAGCTACAGTCGTCTCAGGAGGAAAACAAAGTCACAAGCCTGGCGGGGAGATGACAATTCAGTTGGTCAAGTGCTTCTCTTTCAGGAGACCATGTGACGGGGAGACCAACAACAAACCAGGTGTGGTGGCACGCACTTGTAACCCCAACAGCGATGGTAATAAGGAGCAGTCTCGCTCCAGACAGCCTTGCCTAATCAGCAAGCTCCAGACAGAAAGAAGCTCAGTCTCCAGAGAAAGCAGACAGTGCTGTCCTCTGGCTTCCCACACACGTGCACATGAACACACAGACACACATCACAAGCCATTTACTATAGCACGTCAACTACCTAGTGGTTCCATCTCTTCCGACATGAGGTCACTGGTGCAGCTTGTCAGCGTTTCCATGTCTTCATCCTGGGCTCTGACTTTCCGTTCACCTCGATGTCTCCAAACACAAGACTCATCTACCTGGAGAAAGAGTTCTTCCTCACTGCTGAACTTTAGTGAGAGTATATATAAAGTAAGCCCACAGAAAGTCAAGATGAGTACCTTAAAAAGGAAGCTAAACCCCATCATTAGATACGAAGGAGGAAGGAAATTCTTTTTTCCTGTAAAAGATAATACATATTAGTGTTATAAAAATCAGTTTTCTCCACTTTTTTATCTGAAAGTATTATATACCAATGATTATATCCATCTTTACTTTGTACTAGACATAAGCATTTAAAATACTTAGTATTATGTATAGGAATAATTATCAAGAAAAAGTACGAATACTTGCTCCCACCTTTTGGGTTTGTCAGAACCATAATAATCTATTTTTTTTTTTAATTTTAAAAGGTCAGGCTGTAATTCTTATCTTATTCATCAATAAATGTGTGATGATGACAAATGCTGAATTTGCCATGCCAAGGAAAAATTCCCTTATTTCCTATACATAACGTTGTATGTGCAATTACAGCAGTTCATTTCTACTTAAGAATATCTGTAAAATGGCTCTTGCCTTCATAATACAAGTTAAGGGTATTTTTCATATTAAGCTATTACCTCTTATCATGAAGCTTCCTGTTGTCAAATATTCTCCTGTTGGTGCTGTTTTAGACACCTGAGGAACACAAGAATGCATGATATTCTTATCTAAAGAAAGAAGTGAGACAGGCCTCAGTTCTTACAGGCTGGCCTTGAACTTGCTATGTAACTCAAGACAACCTTGAATTTCAAGTCCCTCCACCTCCAAACGCTGGGATTACCATTGTGCCTCCCATGCCTCCTGTAAGTGGTGCTGGGGATTAAAGCCAGGGCTTTGTGCATGCTAGGAAGGCCTTCTACCCAAATGAATTGCACCTTTAGTCTCCTAAGATGTTCTTTTCAAAAATTTTCTACCCAAGAGGAACAAATAATCATATTCAAGCAAGCAACTCTAAGTCCTGAAAACTTTATAATTTAGCAAAAATTCTCAACACTGCAGACACAGATATATCCTCCCAATGATAGATATACTTGACAACATTATAAAGAAATAACAAAAGATCTACTAGTCCAATAAAATGACATGGACTAGATTGGAACTAGCTTTTTCTTCCAGCATAGGATATAATGAGAAAAGAATAAGTTTAATAAGCTTAGCACAAAACCTTACTGGAAGATAAAGCTACAGTCACTAAAATCCTTTCCCAGGATTCTTTTTGATAGTAAAACAGCTTTTCTTTTCCTTAAAAAAATATTTTGAAAGTTTTGTTTTGTTTGTGGTTTTGGTTTCTCGAGACCGAGTTTCTCTGTGTAGCCCTGGCTGTCCTGGAACTCACTCTATAGACTAAGCTACTTGCCTCAAACTCAAGAGTGCTGAGATTAAAGGCATCCACCACCATGCCTGGCTTTGAAAGTCCTTCCTTCCTTCCTTCCTTCCTTCCTTCCTTCCTTCCTTCCTTCCTTCCTTCCTTCCTTCCTTCCCTCCCTTCCCTCCCTTCCTTCCTTCCTTCCCTCCCTTCCTTCCCTTCCTTCCCTCCCTTCCTTCCCTTCCTTCCTTCCTTCCTTCCTTCCTTCCTTCCTTCCTTCCTTTCCTTCCTTTCCTTCCTTCCCTCCTTCCCTTCCTTCCCTCCCTCCCTCCCTCCCTTCCTTCCTTCCTTCCTTCAAAAAGATTTCTTTATTTAGTATGTATACATACACCAGAAGAGGGCACCAGAGAGCTCACTGTAGATGGCTGTGAGCCACCATGTGGTTCCTGGGAATTGAACTCAGGACCTCTGGAAGAGCAGTCAGAGCTCTTAACCTGTAATCCATCTTTCCAGCTCCCAAACTTTAACAATTTAAAAGTGTGTGTGTGTGTGTGTGTGTGTGTGTGTGTGTGTGTGTGTGTGTGTGTACACACCGCACTGTAGAGGTCAAAAGACAGCTTGCAAGGACTTGGCTCTCCCCTCCCAGCACTTGGGTCCCAGGGACTGACCTCAGGTCATCAAGCTTGATGACAAGGGTCTTTACTGACCGAGCCACCTCCCCAGCTGCTAAAACAGCTTTTCCTAGAAGGAAATAAAGATAACAGAATTTTTAAAAATGTAGTTTGGTAAAACAAAGTGAGCGAGCTTATTCCAAAGATTTTACATATTTGTGAATTTTCTAAATTTGAGTGTATTTTATTAGTTATAAGCAGTTAGAAAACTACTTTAATTAATAGTAGAGGTATAAAGTATTATCCCTGGGCTGGAGAGATGGCTCAGAGGTTAAGAACACTGGCTGCTCTTCCGGAGGTCCTGAGTTCAATTCCCAGCAACCACATGGTGGTTCACAATCATCTATAATGAGATCTGGTGCCCTCTTCCGGTGTGCAGGCAACATGAAGATGGAACACTGTATTCGTAATAAATTTTAAACAAAGGCCTTAAAATAAATAAATAAAGTATTATCCCTCAAGTATATTAATTTCCTAAAACCACATCACAGAATAGCAAATAACATAAGTATAAAATGAAATAAATCTCAAGGATGTTATTCTTTAATCACCACATAATTTCTGATTCTTGTAGAATTAATGCATCATTATTAACTATAACTCTTGAAAATGTAGATCTATTTGCAATGGGAAGTCAACTATGAGATGGTAATATCAAAGAGCACTAACAGCTGAGCTTGGTGGCACAGGCCTGAAATCCCAGCTATCTGGACGGCTGAGGTGGGGGACTGAGAGTTCAAATTCTGTGTGGGATACAGTGAGTTCACTGCCAGCTGGAGGAGCTTAGATCTCCTCACAAAGTAAAAGTAATAAAGGGGCTAAGGGCACTTGCTTAGAATGTATGAGTCTCTAAGTGCACTCTCCAGTATGACAAAAACAAAATCAAACATGTATACAAAAGCAAACCCAACAACACTGAACATAAAGAAGGGCAATCACTAAAACCAAATGAATACATAAAACACAAGTTAGACCTAGTTTCTAAGGAAGGGCAAAAGAGAATTCAGAAAAATTTGAATTGAGCTAGATGTGGTGCTGTGTACCTTTAATCCCAGCACTCGGGAAGCAGAGGCAGGTAGATCATCTTTGTGACCAGCCTGGTCTACACAGCAAGTTCCAGGCCAGCCAAGGCTACACAGGGAGACCCTGCCTCAAAAACCCAAAGGAGAAATTTGGTTTTTTTCTTCACAGCACTTGCCACCTGGTATGCATATATTTTTCTCTGTCTACCTTCTATAGCCTAACCATTTGTAATGAGGTATAGCTCAAGAGATTAAGAAAATGGACCACAGCCCTTATTACCTGATGATGGTACACCCACCAAGCACTAGTGATAACTCGTGCATCCCAAGCAGCACTGTAGCAAAGTGCCATTGTGCCTGCCTCAGTCAAAGTCCGTGGAGGGATGGGTTCTCCTATAACAGCAATGCTATGTTTCAATACCAAAGTACAGGGTTTCTACAGAGCAAGACGCCAAAGTTATACTTAGTACAACAGTTTTAATCATCATCTATCTTAAATATTTATACCACATTTTCTTTCAAGATTTTATCTACCTATCTACTCACCTGTTGTTGCAGTGTTAGCGACCAAAAGTTTTATCTTTTACATTTATTTGTGTGTGTGTGCTCATGAGCACGAGATAATGCAGTGTAACCACTGCCACTATATAATTCCAAAACATTATCACAACCCCACCCCCAACCCCCCCCACCCCCGCCCCACCAAAAGCAATGTTCCTTTCCAAACTCAGCTATCTGCAATCACTAAGTTACTTTCTGTACATATTTTGCGAAGTTCAGATAAATGGAATTATATGTAGCCTTTTGTGTTTAGCCTAGAATTTAGAGTGGTCCTCCTGCCTCTGCTCCTGGAATTATAGGTATGATCTGCCACACTTGGCTTTCTTTCCTTTCCTTTAATATTTTACAGACTTTACCTATAGCCTTCTCTATCTTGGCAAGTTTATTACTAATTTTACGGTATTATGGATTAAAAGCCAGGGCTTTATGCATGTTAGAAAAGTACTATACCACTGAGCCATGACTTCTATTTCTTCCTTTTTAAAGATAAGGTCTATACAGCCCAGGCAGGCTTCAAACTTGCTATGTGGCTGAGGATGACTTTGAATTTCTGATCCTTTCACCTCTGCTTCTTGAATGCTAAGATTATAGGCCTGCACCATCATGCCTGGTCTATGTGGCACTGGAGATTAATGCATGTTAGACAAACACTCTACTAACTGACTACATCCTCATACTCCTTATTTAATTTAATTTTATCATGCCTCGTTTATCAGTTTATTCATTGCTAGTTGTGGTGATTTCAGTGAGATCCCCCCGCCCCGCCCCATAAGTCTCAGGCATTTGAATACTTGATTCCCAGCTGATGGCTGTCTGGGAAGGATTCGGGTGGAAGGTGTAACCTTGTTGAAGGAGGTGTGTCAATCGGGATGGGCTTAAGGTTTCAAAAGCCTCCTGCCATCTCCAATGTACTCTCTCTGATTCCTGTTTGTGGATCTGCATGTGAGCCCTCAGCTGCTGCTCCAGTTACCTGCCACCATGCCTCTGGTGCCTTGTCTATCATCAAAAACTCTTAAGCCTCTGGAAATGTAAGTCTATATTAAACTCTTGAATAAGTTGTTTTGGTCATGGTGTCACAATAATAGAGAAGTAACTAAGACACTGGTATGGAGAACTACAATGTATTTTCTTTTCTTTTTTTGATACAGAGTCTCACATAGTCCAGACTGGTTAAGAATGACCTGGAACACCTGATTCTCCTGCCTCTACTTCACAGTTGCTGGAATTACAGGCCTGTGCCACCATCCTTATAGTTACAACTTATTTTTGTACTCATCATAGGCTGTGTGAACATTGTTGCTTTTTATTAGAACTCAAATCTGGTAACGTCCTTAGCTGTGTGTTTTTGTTTTGTTTTTTTAGGAGGCAGAGGCAGGTGGATATCTCAGACTACATAGTTAAGTGTCTCCATATATAGAGACCCTATCTCCAAAAACCAAAAACCAAAGCAAACACACACACACACACACACACACACACACACCAAACAAATCTGCGTGTGTGTGTGTGTGTGTGTGTGTGTGTGTGTGTGTGTGTGTGTGTGTGTCTATTTTATATATATATATGTAAAAGATAGTTTGGGTACAAGAGTTTTACTTCTTGTCAATTTGAGCATTTTAACTTTCATTTTATTGTTGTCTTAGTCTGGGTTTCTACTTCTATTGCTGTGATAAAACATAACCCAAACAAAAGCAGCTTGGGGAGTAAAGGGTTTATTTGGCTTGCATATCCAGTGTCATAGTCCACTGAGAGAAGCCAAAGCAGGAACTCAGACAGGGCAGGGACCTGGAGGCAGGAGCTGATGCAGAGGCCATGGAGGGGTGCTGCTCACTGGCTTGCTCTCATGGCTTGCTCAGCCTGCTTCCTTCAGCAGCTAGGGCCACCAGCACAGGGCTATCCCACCCACCATGGGCTGGGCCCTCCCATATCAAATGACTTACTTTAATGCCAAAATCTCACTATGTAGTCTAGTCTGGTCTTAAATTCGGAGATTCTCCTGCCTCAACCTCCAGAGTACTGAGATTTCATGTGTACATGACCACACACAGCTTACCAATGATTTTTCTACATCAATTGAAATCCTGGAATAAAGCACATGGTGTATAATCCTTTCAGACTGTTGCTAGATTCAGGCTGCTTATACCTTGTAAAGGATTTCTGGGCCTGTACTCTAAGTGAAGTTGCTGTTTCTCTAGTGATGTATTTGGTTTTATTATTTGTATATGTATTGATTATCTTATTTGGTTTTATTACTGGGAAATACCAGCTGATAGAATTAATCAGAAGTATTCCTATCTCTCTTATTTGGAAGGAAGAGTTTTTGAAGCACTAGTTTTTTTGGGTTTTTTTTGTTTGTTTGTTTGTTTGTTTTAACTAAAAGATTCATCAATTAAGGTATCTAAATCTGGGGATTTCTTTTTTTTTCCTTTTTGTTTTTTTTGTTTTTTTTTTTTTTGTTTTTTGTTTTTTTTTTTTTTTTTGGTTTTTCGAGACAGGGTTTCTCTGTGTAGCTTTGCGCCTTTCCTGGAACTCACTTGGTAGTCCAGGCTGGCCTCGAACTCACAGAGATCCGCCTGGCTCTGCCTCCCGAGTGCTGGGATTAAAGGCGTGCGCCACCACCGCCCGGCTGTTTTGTTTTTTTAAATACAGGTTTCTCTGTGTAGCCTTGGCTGTCCTGGAACTTGCTCTGTAGACCAGGCTGGCCTCAAACTCAAAGAGATCTGCCTGCCTCTGCCTCCTGATTGCCAGGATCAAATGTGTGCGCCAACATTGCCTAGCTGGAATTTTCTTTATGAAGTGTTTCAATCTCTTTACTTGTTATGAATTTTTTTCCCCAATTTTCTGTTTCTATCATCTGATCTATGTAGAGAATGTTCTCTGAATACTTGTTAGGCTGTGTGCTAGAGATATTGTTAGGTTTAGTTATCAATCTGTTCAAGTCTTCTACTTCCTTGTTAATCTACTGTTTATTCTATTCATGTTCATGTTCAATGTTGACATTTCCAAATATTACTGTATGTACCTGTGTCTACCCACCCCATTACTGTATGTTTCATTTATTATAGGACACATGTATATATGTGTCAGACACACGTTATGACTCTTACATTCATGCAATGTTCTTATATCATTACAATCTTTCTTCATCTCTTTTTTGTTGTTTACAATACTGGGAGCTGAATATTAATTCTTGTTTATCAGTAACATTAAAAATGTTTTCAGGAGGCCAAAGAGATGGCTTAGCAGTTAAGAATGCATACTGCTCTGGCAGAGGACCTGAGGCCAGTCCCCAGAGCCCAAATGGTTTGTGTCCCTGTGACTGTGACTCTACCCAGGGGACTCAACACTCTGTTCTGGACACAATGGGCACCGGCATGGATCGCATGTGCACATTCCCACACATGCACTCACATATATACATAACTAAAAACAAACAAACAAAATGTTAAGGAAAGAAATTTCCAGGTAATGGACTTATAGTACCTGTTGGATTCTTAATCACACAGCTGGTAGCTCCATGAAGATCAGCATGCACATAAATATCTCCTTAAAGAAAGACAAATGTGAAATGATACTTTAGGTCCTATTTCTTTTGGTTTGGTTGGTTTTTGTTTTGTTTTCTTCTAAATTTCTACTTTAAGATTTTATGTTCTCTGTATACGTGTGAGGCCATGTTCTAGAGATATTGCTAGGTTTAGTTATCAATCCATTCAGTCTTCTATTTCCTATCACAATTGTTCTGCCTGCACGGATGTAAGTGAACTACCCACATGCAGCACCCACGAAAGGGAGAAAGGGGCATCAGATCCTCTGAACTGTAGTCACAGGTGGTGCGGAGCAACCATGTCATTGCTGGGAACTGAACTCAGGGTAGTTGCGACAGTCGTCAGTGCTCGTAAGTGCTGAGCCACCTCTCCTGCCTGCTTCTTTCCTGGTTTTGAAACAGGGTCTCTTTATGCTCTGAGGTTATTCTGGGACTTCTGGGGTCAAGTGGTCCTCTGGGTTTAGCCTCTAGCAGCTGCAATTACAGGCATTCACTACACACCCAGCATGGAAGCTGGACAAATGGTCACAGACTTTAGCACTTAAACACTAAGCTTTAAAAATTTTGATCCACCATCACTTGGAGAACTGGAAACTATTTTGTAAATACAGCAGATCAAAAGTCCAACAACACAGATTAGCTCATCAATACTATTTTTGTAATACCCACTTAACAAGATTTGGCAAAGACTTCTCCAACCAATTGTAAGCCAGAGAGCATTAAACCCCCAATTCTGTCAAACAAGAGAATAAGATGAATGAAAACCAGTGCCTATTAATGAAACAACTGATAAATCATTTAAGAGAAAATTTCATAGATTTTAATCTTACCTGGTGTCAAGTATCTTTTCACGATGATCTCATTCTGTTGCTGATCTCGACCACCTATAATTAAATAGTTCTCTGAGCTAATGAACCACAGAAATTTCTCAAACCTATCAAATTGAAAGAAAATAAAGTTAACATTTTTTCTTTATAGCTGCCTGAATTCATACCACTTTTAAAACAAAATATAACAAAACAGGAAGCTGCCATTCCTATATAGAATAAAATAGCAACAATCCAATTACTTTTCAAGGATCAAGTAAAATTTTTAAAAATTAAAAAACAAACAAACAAAAACCTGTAATGTATTTTTTACAACAGTCTTAAAAGAAACTACATTCTGGCAGGGCATAGTGGTGCATGCCAGCACTGGGGAGGCAGGTAAGGGACCCTCTGAGTTCTATGCCACCAGTGCACTGATACAGTGAGACCTTGTCGTGGGGTGGGGTCAGGGAGAACAAGATGGGGAAGAGGAGGAGGAGGATGAACTAAATGAATTCTATAAAAACATCTCACTCAGTATGATGGACGAGACATACCTAAGTTCCTACCACTCGGAAGAGGCTAGAGAATCAAGAGTTTTTCAAGGCCAGCCACAGCTACATATTGGATTTAAGGCTAGCCTAGGCTATATTAAGCTATCAGAAAAACAACAACCCACAAACCAAGTTATTTCTATTTAACTCTTCTTTTGGTTTTTCAAGATGGTTCCTCTTGTTTTTGTTGCTGTTGTTTTGTGGGTTTGTTGTTGTTGTTGTTGCTTTGGTTTTTCGAGACAGAGTTTCTCTGTGTAACAGCCCTAGCTGGATTGGAGCTCACTCTGTAGACCAGGCTGGCCTTGAACTCACAGAGATCCGCCTGCCTCTGCCTCCCCAGTGCTGGGATTAAAGGTGTGCACAACCACTGCCTGGCTCTATTTATTTCTTTAAAACCTTTTTAAAATTATACGTGTATGTTCATGTGTGTATCTGTTTATGGATATGTACACGTGAAAGCAGGTACCCAGGTGCTGTGGGATAATGCTCTTCTACACTGCAAAGGTTTGTCACTCGAACTGGTTTAATAAAATGCTGATTGGCCAGTAGCCAGGCAGGAAGTATAAGCAGGGCGAGCAAACAAAGAATGCTGGGAAGAGGAAGGGCTGAGTCAGGAGTTGCCAGCTAGATGCACAGGAAGCAAGATGAGAATAACAAACTCAGGAAAGTTACCAAGTCACATGGCTAAACATAGATAAGAATTATGGGTTAATTTAAGTGTAAGAGCTAGTCAGTAATAAACCTGAGCTAATGGCTGAGCAGTTATAATTAATATAAGCTTCTGTGTGGTAATTTGGGAAGTGGCTGCTGAGTATTTTGGAGGTGTTGGTGGAACAGAAACTTCCACTAACACCCAGGGAGTCCAAAAGGGGGTACAGAAGCCCCTGGAGCTGGAGTTACAGAAGATTGTAAACTGCACAATATGGGTGCTGAGAACTTTACTCCATTCCTCTGGAAGAGTAGTAAGTGCTCTTAACCACTAAGCCATCTACCCAACTCCCAAATTATTTCTTTATTCTATATAGGCAGCATTCTTAAACATAGGGATGGCATAACAATGAGTTAATTACACAAATCGAAAGTACAAAATACCAAATGCCCTAAGATTCAGCTTTCTTTCAATGGGATACTAAATAGGTTCTGGACCACTGGTAAAGAAAGAAACTGCCAGGCAGGGGTGGTAGATCCTTGTAATCCCAGCACTTGGGAGGGTGACCCAAGAGAATCAAAGTGCAAGGCCTGCCTGGGCTACCAAGGGAGACCCTGTGTGATAATTTGAATGTAACTGGCCCCCATAAACTCACAGGGAGTAGCACTATTAGGAGGTGTGGCCTTGTAGGAGTAGGTATGGCCTTACTGGAGAAAATATGTCACTGTAGGGGTGGGCTTTGAGGTCTCATATATACTCAAGCCACACCCAGAGCTTCAGTCTGCATCCTGTTCTTCTGATCAAAATGTAGCCAGCATCATGTCTGCCTACACACCACCATGCTCCCCGCCATGATAATGGATTGAACCTCTAAAACTATAAGTCACCCCAATTAAATGTTTTCCTTATAAGAGTTGCTGTGGTCATGGTGTCACTTCATAGCAATAGAAACTCTAACTAAGACACCCTGTCTCATCATTCCCTTTGACATGTGTCTCCCCTCCAACAGAGTAACATTATATAGCTTTTCTCAAAAGACAAAGTAACTGAGGTTCTCATTAATTTATTATTAGGATAGAAAGAATAAAAGGATGGAGAGATGGATCAGAGATTAAGAGCACACGCTGCTCTTTCAGAGGACCTGGGTTTGATTCTCAGCATGAACATGGCCGCTCACAACCATATGTAACTCCAGTACCAGGGGATCTGACACTTCAGGTTAGAGCACAGACCTACATGCATGTTGAACAGCCATATTTATAAGATAAAATTAAATAAAAGAAGGTCTAACAGTAAGTGTTTATGTGACATTTAGAAAATGACAGACAATATAGATGAAAATAAAGATTTGCTATATTACATATAACAGATATCTTCTATATGAGTCAATCTATAGAACCAAAAACTTCCAGTTAAAATATGACATATATACACCAAGCAATAATCTATCAAGGGGGCTGGAGAAATGGCTCAGAGGTTAAGAGCACCGACTGTTCTTTCGGAGGTCCTGAGTTCAATTCCCAGCACCCACGTGGTGGCTCACAACCATCTGTAATGAGATCTGGCATCCTCTTCTGTGTACATAATAAATAAATAGATCTTTAAAAAAAAAAATAATCTATCAATACATCCCTCAAAATACAATATGAAAAGGTTTTCTTTTTTGGTTTATTTACTTATTTGTTGCTGGAGACAGAACTTGAGTTAATTTTGACTGATTTGTTAATAAATGTCTAGGAACTTGGACACAATGGTCAAATGCTCTACCACTGAGCAACATCCCCCATCCTTTGTTTTGGAGACATGGTCTCAACGAAGTAACTCAGGCTAGTCCTGAACTTATGATCATCCTGCCTGAACTTCATGAGTGCCAGGATTATAAAAAGATGACACTGTGCCTAGTTCATATTTTTTTTTTTGTATGTTTTTAGCATTGCCAGAGATACAACCCAGGGACTTGGCCATGCCAGGAAAGTGCTTTAGCTAATGAGTTACATCCCTTTCCTGTAATCTAATTTTGTTATTGGTGGTGTTTTTGAGACTGAGTCTCACTATGTTGACGAGGCAGTCCTCAAAGTCAAAGAACATGTCTGCCTCTGCCTCCTGAGTGCTGGCATTACGCCCCACTCTGGCTTTTGACTGGGAAGTATACACTGGTTCAAAAACAGCAGGCCAAGGTTTACAAAAAGACATGGTGCATCCCTTCAGCTTCTCATCACTGTCTAACTGGTTAGCTCCTGCATACAGAACTCTAGTTTCTTTATGTACAAAGAAGCCAAAACATTTATTCCAGCCTTGTCATTTTTCAGACAAAGTATACAATGTTCTACATTTCTTTATTTTTTCACACGAAATATCCTTGCTGAATGCCTTTAATTCTTTATTTAATTCCACCACCGCCAGAAAAGATATCTATAGAAAAACAAGGATAAGCAAACAAACAGAATAGGAGAGATAAAATACATACCCTAAAATCAGCCTAGTAAAAGAACACACACTTGAAGAGGAATATATAGCTAAGAAGCTATGACAGTTAATGTTACTTATCAACTTGAGTGAATTCAGAATCACCAAGGAACCAACACACCTCTGAGTGTATCCAAGAGAGTGTTTCCAAAGGGTGTAATTGAAGAGGGATGACCCACCCAGAATATGGGTGGCACAATCCCAAGGGCTGGGCTCCTGCACTAATAAAAGGAGAAAGCGAGCTGAACACTTGCCTTCCTCTCTTTCTGCTTCCTGACTATGGACACAGTGACTAGCTGCCTCCTGCCCCAGCCACCATGCCTTCCTTGCCATGCCCCCGCCTCAGCATGCAGGTCTGTAGAGGAGCCATAATAAACGCTTTCTTCATTTGCTTTTTCCTAGTACTCTGTCACAACAATGAGAAAGGGAACTAATACAGAAGTCAGGAAAGACTACCAAACGTGCAATAAGAAAGACAAATACAGGACAGATGGGACAAACAGAAAGCAGACAGCAAGATGGGTGCGTGCAAGCTGCAAATAACAGGAAGTTACATGTGGCATAAACATAGTAAGAGCCCTCAGTGAAACATGGAAAACTATCAGGTCAGAAAATAATAATAACAGCGCGTGCGTGCGTGTGTGTAAAATACAGGTTATAGAAAGATTGAAATAAAATACAAAGAGATAGTGCACACACACACTAATGAAAAGAAGCCCAACCAGATAACAGTTCCACATCTGTATCTATTATAGCCTCACATAAAGCAAAAGTGGCAGAAAAGGAGAAATGGACAAATCCATAATTATATTAAGTTCTTAAGTAGGATTATTATAAACTATATACCTGAGAAAAACCCCAATTACTACAACTAGAGAATCTTAACAGTCAAATTCTACAAAGAAAGCCAGGCATACTCGGCTGATGCAGGCCTATAATCTAGAGTATCTGGGAGGTTGTAGCAGGAAAACTGCAAGTTCAAGGTCAGCCTGGCCTACACAGTGAGTTCCAGATCAGCCAAAGACAGAGAGACTGACCTGGTCTTAAAAAACAAAACAAAACCCTTATTTGTAATGGAATGCTTCCTTCCCTCCCGCCGCCCAAGACGGTTTCTCTGTGTAGTCAGTCCTGTCTGTCCTCGAACTCACAGATCTACCTGAGGGCTAGGATTAAAGGTGTATATCACCATACCAGGCTTTTGAAACACTTTCCCATAAGGAAAATTTCAGGACTACTCCATTTTACAGGAAAATTTGATCCACATTTAAAGACAACTCGAAAAAGAACATTTCTAGCTTGTTTTATGAGGCACTATGACCTAGATATGACTACCTGATAAGAACACTACAAAGAAAATGAAAATTAAAGGTCAGACTGATCAATAGAGATGTCAAATGTAATCAAATTAAGCAGAAAGAAAGGGGAAACAAGAAATACAACAAAAACTTGATAAATGAGAAAGAATCAATCATATTAGACTGAGAGGTCTACACAAACAGGTAACAGAGATCATGTCACAAGCCCAACCACCCAGAGAACATCTCATTAGCATTTTAATATCCTCCTCTGAAATGTAAGTGACAACCAGGGGCACCAAATACTAATGAATGTCTCTCCTACGAAAACTGGAGATTCCAGGAAAAAAGTGGGTAGGCAAGCAAGGTCATAAGGCAAATATAATTCTAAGGTTACAGAGTTAGAGTTACACAGGCTGAACAAATCTGTAGATCTAATGTACAACATGAGGACTATATATAATTAATAATTAGAATTGAAAAGCCAGGTGTGGTGGCAAACACCTTTAATCCTAGCACTTGGGAGGCAGAGGCAGGTGGATCTCTAGGAGTTATCGGACAGCCAATGCTGCTCAGTGAGACCCTGTCAAGACAGAGAAACAGAAGAGAAAAGGAGAAGAGAAGAATTAGCTTATTGTACACTGGAAATTTGATCAGAGTATTATCACCGAACAACAACAAAATGGGTATTCAATGAAACATGATAAATAGAAATTTGCTTTTTAAACCTTTTTTTCTAAAACTACATTTATATGTCCAGTGCCTTGTCTGTCTGTCTCTCTGTCTCTCTCTGTGTAGGATCACGCATGAGTGAAGGTCAGAGGACAACCTGTAGGAGCTCTCTCCTTGGATCATATGCATAAGGGCTCCTGGAGCTTAAGCTCAGATTAGCAGGCCTGGCAGCAAGCACCTTTACACCCACCAAGCCCTATCAACAGGCCCTATGTTTTGAGCCAGGATCTTGCTCTGAAGTCTTGGCTGGCCTAGTGCTTGTTCTTTAGTCCAAGTTGGTTCATGAACTCATGACAAATCTCCAGCCTCAGTTTCACCACTGCTGGGGTTACAGGCGTGCACCACCACACCTAGCCTATGTTGGATATGCTTGGATGTGATAATCATTTCACTGTGCATGTAATACATGAAAACTTCATGTTGTATACTTTAAAATACATACAATAAAAGCCGGGCGGTGATGGTGCACGCCTTTAATCCCAGCACTCGGGAAGCAGAGGCAGTCGGATCTCTGAGTTTGAGGCCAGTCTGGTCTACAGAGTGAGTTCTAGGAAACTCTGTCTTGAAAAACAAAACCAAAACAAAACAAAAATATATACAATAAAATAAACTATAACAACTTGGGGAAGTTATAATTGATAGGGGAAAAAAAAGAGTAAGTAATATGGCATTGGGGACTGGTTCCCAGCATTGGGTCTATAAAAGTAGGATTGCTTCAGTTATAGTCCAGCCTGGTCTACCTAATGGATTTTAGAAAGCTTGTGCTATAGAATAAGACTCTTTATCAACAAACAAAGAACAACCCCAGCAAACAGTAATACATAAATCAAAGCTTCTACAGAGTACTTGGAGAAACCAACCAACTAATTAGCCCTTGAAAACATGACAGGAAGTTAAGGAGCTTGCTCGGCCAGTACAGTACTGCACAAGAACCTTAGTTTGGATCCGCAGTACCCAACTGTAACACCAGTGCAGAGAGAGGGTAAGGGAAGAGAAATCTGGAGGCTCAATGGCTGCTGGTCTGGTCAAAATGCAGAGCTCCAGATTCAGTGAGTGACCCTGTCTCAAAAAGTAAGTTAGAGAAGCCAGGTGTGGTGGTACATGCCCTTAATCCCAGCACTCAGGAGGAAGAGGCAGCACATCTGTGAGTTCAAGACCAGCCTTGTCTACATAGTGAGTTTCAGACCAACCAGAACTACAAAGTGAGACCTTGTCTCAAAAAAACAAAAAACAAAGAGAGCAACAGAGGTCTCCTGACCTCCATGTACACAGCGGTGAGCACATACAAGAGAGACAAGTCAGGTAAGAAGTTCTGCGGAAGAACTGAAAAATAAAGTTGAAAACATCACTGAGAATGTGCAGAAAAGAGACACCGAGTTGAAAATTGGAGGACCCACTCAGAAGGTTCCATATGTAAACACAGAAAAGGAAATACATTAAGAGAACTATACAAAGGGGTCAGCAAGATAACTGAGTAGGTAAAGGCACTTGCCTTTGAGTTCAATCCCTACATAGTAGAAAGTGAGAACAGATTCCCACAAATTGTCCTCTGACCTTAATAGGAATGCCATCACCCACCCCACCCCTCACTCCACACGCACGCATTAAACACACAGGGAGGAAAAAACTGTCAAGAAAGTGTCTCAGAACTTAAATTTCCAAACTAAAAGGGCCCACAAAGTATGCAGCATGACAGACTAAAACATTTTCCCCAACTCCTATCCATGAAATTCTGAAGGGAAAAAAGGCTGTAAGGGGATTTGGGGCGGGGGTGGGGGGGGGTGTGGGGTGTGGAGGGCTCCTCTACATAAGAGCTCTGCAGAAGGCACAAAGCATCAGCTGCTGGAACGACCGAGGAGCTGGAGCTAAAGCTCAGGCCGCAAACAGGCTGCCAAGTCCATCCAAGGTTACGGGATGGATACCTGCGGGCGGGCGAAAGGCAGGTCATGATGAAGATATGGGGTGTGGGCACTAGCTGGTGCAGTGCCATACAACTGAGCCTATCCACTCAGGAGGCTGAGGCTGGAAGACTGCTTGAGCCCAGGTGTTCAAGACGCACCTAGGCAACATAATGAGACCTCACCTAAAAACAAAAACAAGCTGTGTGTGTGTGTGTGTGTGTGTGTGTGTGTGTGTGTGTGTGTGTGTGTGTGTTGGGGGTAGGGGTGGAGTGGTGGCACACACCTTTAATCCCAGCACTTGGGAGACAGAGACAGGCAGATTCCCGTGAGTTCGAGGCCAGTCTGGTCTAGAGAATGAGATTCAGGGCAGCCAGGGCCACACATAGAAACTCCGTCTCAAAAAAACAAAAAATAGCCTAGCGGTGGTGGCTCACACCTTTAATCCCAGTGCTGAGGAGGCAGAGCCAGGTGGATCTCTGGGAGTTCGAGGCCAGCCTGATTTACACAGAGAGATCCAGGATAGATACCAAAACTACACAGAGAAACCCTGTCTCGAAAAACAAAAACAAAATACCAAAAAATGAAAAACAAACAAAAATATATGTGTGTATATGTGCATACACACACACACACACACACACACACACACACACAAAACAAGTATATAGTAGCTAGAAAATCTCCAAGAGTAAGCATGTGGTCTAACATGTGAAGGCCTAGCACCAAAATATAAATAAAACTCAAGAGAGGTTTGTTATGAATTGCTCGGTGGGCCCTGAGGGTATCCCGCGGGCAGGGAAACATGCTGGGCAGATGCAGCGGCAGGCTAGGCAGTCATTCGAGACATGGGATACACAACCCAGATGATGCATCCCCTTGGAGAGTTTATAGAGATAAAAGAGGCAGAGAGACAGAAAGAGGGAGACAGAGAGAGAGAGAGAGAGAGAAGGGAGGGAGGGGGACTCAAGGGTGAGCACCTCATGGAAGGGAGGCGGAGAGAGAGAAGAGAGAAGGGAGGAGGGAGGGAAGGAGAGAGAGAGAGAGAGAGAGAAGGGAGGAGGGAGGGAAGGAGAGAGAGAGAGAGAGAGAGAAGGGAGGGAGGGGGATTCAAGGGTGAGCACCTCATGGAAGGGAGGCGGAGAGAGAGAAGAGAGAAGGGAGGAGGGAGGGAAGGAGAGAAAGAGGGAGAGGGAGAGAGAGAGTGCGAGTGAGAAATGGGCAAAGTTTTTTCTTAAAAAGAGACTCATGTCAGGACACAGGGTGGCGCCAATGGGAGGGATCAGAATATTAACAAGATCTCTGACATATCCAAAAAGGTAATACTAATGAAATTCTAGTGTATTTGAATATAGATGAAAGTTTGACACTGAATTTGTGACACACACACGCAAAACAAAAAAAAAATTTAAAAAATTTTATAGGGGTGTGTGTGTGTGTGTGTGTGTGTGTGTGTGTGTGTGTGTGTGTGTGTGCATAAGTGTTACATGACTGAGTTACAGGTAGTTGTAAGCTGCCCAACACTGATCCTGAGAACTGAACTCAAGGCCTTTGCCAGAATAACATGGGCTCTTAACAACTGAGGCATTTCTCCAGCCCTACATAATCCTTAACACGAAGGAAGACAACACAAAAACTGAGCAGAGAAGGAAGACAGAATACTACAAGGCTCAGCTATAATCCATAAAATGTGAAAGCTCATTATCCATCTTGACAAAACTATGTCTGTATCTAACAGAAGACACGTGGAAAGAAACTGAAATTCTCATCTTCTATAAGGAGAGGTCAATGAAGGGCTACAGAACAACAAAAATCATCAAGTAGAGCCGGGAGGTGGTTGTGCAGGCTTTTAATGCCAGCACTTGGAGACAGAGGCAGACAGATCTCTGAGTTCAAGGTCAGCCTGAACTACAGAGCGAGTTCCAGGACAGCCAGGGCTACAGAGAGACCCTATCTCAAAAAACCTAAACCAAAACCAAAACAAACAAACAAACCAAACAACCAACCCATCAACCCCCCCGACATACACCCCCTCCCAAAAAAAAAACCCATGAAGTAGTAATACAAGCTATTACAGAGAGAAACCGGAGTATCTAACAGGCTGATCTAAAAGAGCTAAAGGCAGAGGCTGGAGAGACGGCTCAGTGGGTCCATGTACTTGCCATCAAACTTGAGCTCAATTCCCAGGACCCACATGGAGGCAGGAGAGAAACAATCCTGAAGCTGTCCACTGACCTCCACACGTGCTCCATGGCATGTTTCCCCATTTACACACCCACACAAGAAATAAATGAATAAGGAAATAAATAGAAAGAACTAAAACTAAAAAGAAGTTTCCTTGGGAGAGCAGGCATTGGGTAAGGATGAAGAGTAATAAGACTACTGGTTTTAGAGCTAGCGCTGTATAATTGCCTGACTTTCCAAATAATATGCATATATAATTCCAATTAAAAAAACCCAAAATATAAAAAAGAGCAGAACACTTACCAATACACTTTTCTTGCCTTCTGGATCGAAGTAACTGTTTGTACTTCTTTTAAGGTTTGCTTTGTTTTCTTTTCTGCTGATTTAAATGCCTATTTATAAAAAAAAAAAAAAAAAACCAAACAACTTTTTTTTAGTAATTTTAGGATGTAGTTACATAGCATCAAAGTATATAATGGCGTAACCAATTGCTTTAGACAGCTTTCACTATATTGCCCAGGCTGGCCTCTAACTCACAAAGATCCTTCTGCCTCAGCCCCATGGATTATAGGAACAAGCCATCACACCTAGTTTAATAAACAGTTGTTGTGACCCATGAGATGGCTCAGTGGGTAGAGCACCTGCTGCCAGGCCTGCTGACCTGAGTTTGATCCCTGTGCCCACGAGTTGTGCTCTAGTCTCTATATGTGTACTATGAGCAAAAAAGAAAACAGAAAAAAGATTTTGTCATAAAGTGACTTGATTTATACACACAAGTATATATATAATGAAAAAAGATATTTTACCTTAAGAAGTAAAATGAATTAAATATTTACTGTATGCAAATGCTTAAAAGATTTATTTATTATGTATACAGTGTTCCTCCTGCATATATGCCTACACATCAGATCTCATTATAGATTGTTGTGAGCCACCATGTGGATGCTGGGAATTTTGAACTCAGGACCTCTGAAGAGCAATCAGTCAGTGCTCTTAACCTCTGAGCCATCTCTCCAGCCCCTGTATGCAAATTTTTTTTTTTTTTTTTTTTTGGTTTTTTTTGAGACAGGGTTTCTCTGTGTAGCTTTGCGCCTTTCCTGGGACTCACTTGGTAGTCCAGGCTGGCCTCGAACTCACAGAGATCCGCCTGGCTCTGCCAACCAAGTGCTGGGATTAAAGGCGTGCGCCACAAATTTTTAAGAGCTATAAATTAAGAACTTTCTTGTTGTTGGGAATTGTAGTGTATTCCTATAACCCCAGCACCCGAAAGACAGAGGCAAGAAGATCCCGAGTTTGAAGCTGGCCTGGATATACAAGTGTGAGGCCAGCCTGGATTATAGAGGGCAGGTCAAGGAGGTTACTCATTTAATAGAAATTAAAGTCTCTGGTTTGTTCCAGACAATCTCTGAAGACTAGAATGCAACAATGAACAAAACAGCAATGGTAATTTTTGGTGGTGGTGTTTTTGTTTTGTGTTGTTTCACTACGTAGCTCTGGCTAGCCTAGAACTCACCAATGTAAACCTCACTCTGTAGACCAGGGTGGTTTTGAACTCACAGAGCTCCACCTGTCTCTGCCTCCCAAGTGCTGGGATTAAAAGCTTGCACCACCACACCCAGCAACAATGATACTTTTATGGACTTACACTCTAAAAGATAAATAGACAAATATTCAAATAATTTTATATCAGTTGAGGAGTTGAAAAAAACAGGGAAGTAGATTGAGAGTGGCATTATTTTTAGTAGAAATGGTCAACAAAGGCTTCTCTGATGTCTCACTCAGGCAGATATGTAAATGAACAAATGGAGAGAAAACCTTGAAAATCCGAGGGCAGATCACTTCAGCTAAGAAGACTAGCACGGACAACGATTCTGAGAACAGCAGTGCACTCCGGTTTCAGAAATGCGAGGCGCCAGTGTAGCAGAAAGAGTATATACTGAGTCAAAGGGGAACAGATCACACAGGGCTCTGCAGGCCAGGCAGACAGCACTGACTGTACTCAGACGGGATGAAACTGGAAGGTTTGAGTGCAGGAAAGATGACAGAGTCTGCTTGTAGTTTAAAAGTATCACTATGGCTGCTAAGTTGAGAACAGACTGCAGTGGGAGAAAAGGTCTAGCCATGTGGATACAGGGAACCAAGGCCTAAACCAAAGGAATACGATACGTGGTCAAATTCTGTGTACAGTGTGTGTGTGTGTGTGTGTCAAAGGCTGGTCTCAAACTCACTAGACAGATTAGGATGACCTTGAACTCATTCATGATCATTTTGCCCCCACTTTCCAAGTTCTAAAATCACAGTCAAGTGACAAAGGACCCAGTAGGTTCTGGTTATACATGAAATTGAGAAACAAAAAAAAAATAAAAATGAGGAACTGGCAAGATGGCTCAGCGGGTACAACACGTGATTCAAAGCCTGCTAACTTGAGTTGGATCTCTGGAGCCCACATAAAGGTAGGGAAAAGCAACTCTACAAAACTGTCCTCAAGCCCACAGGTTCCCTGTGGTATGTACACATGAATATGCACACACACACTAACACAGGAAATGACAGATTTGGACATGAGAAGAGAGTTCTGGATATCTCTAACATTGAAGCAGACAAGGATGACAGTGCTATTTGCTGAGATGAGGAAAAAAGAGGGAGGTGCAGGTTTAGGGAAGAAGTAAACGCAGGAAATAAGCATATTTAAAGCAAAATTTAAAAATGGAGGAGTTTTTTGAATTAGAAAACCCCACTTAGCCAGGTGCACACCTTTAATCCCAGCACTTGGGAGGCAGAGGCAGGTGGAGCTCTGTGAGTTCGAGGCCAGCCTGGACTACAGATTGAGTTCCAGGACAGCCAAGGCTACACAGAGAAACCCTGTCTTGAAAAAAAAAAGAAAAAGAAAAAAGAAAAGCTCACTTAAACAGAAAAGTCATTAAAGCTACAGAAAACAATGAATATCGTACTATCAAGTTACCTTCTCAGCAGCTTCAACGGTCCTCTGTGTTTTTTTAGCAGCATACCTCTTATGATCATAATATCTAGAAAAATAAATCTATTTTAAATATTAAGTAAAACCTTCATAGTTTCTATTTTTAATTTACAGTCCTAAATCATATAGAACCAAGTTGTATAGAGCACAAAATTAATTTTTACCAAAAGAAGTATGTATACATGCTCTGTAGCAGTTTCTTACAAATTGAAACACTCCCTTCCAGGAGGGGGTGCTAAGAGACCCAGGAAGTGAACACACTTCGCAAGTCTGAGAAAGCTGTAGCCTGCAGTAAGTACAATTCCTCAAGGTCTCCTTCAAGTTAGAGAAGCAGTAAACAACTGCCTGAGGAGACTCCAGCTGAAGAGCAAGAGATGCCTTGCATTTGTCCAGGTGTCTCTAACTTGAGCACAGGGCTCCAGATACACAGCTTTCCTGAGGCATCACCACCCATGCTGAGAGGCAACTGTTTCAGCCTTATCCTTGCTCCTGTAAGCCAGCCCTCCTCACTCGGACTCCAGTCAGTAACCCAAGAAAAACTCACTGGCTCACCAAGGGAGACTTTGGTGCAGTCCTTACTTTGATCTGTTGTGGATTCCCTTTCTGGGGTGAAAAGACGTGTGTGTGTGTGTGTGTGTGTGTGTGTGTGTGTGTGTGTGTGTGTGTGTGTGTGTGTGTGTGTGAGAGAGAGAGAGAGAGAGAGAGAGAGAGAGGGGCTGTGTGTGTTCTTTGGTCTGTTGTGGATTCCCTCTCTAAAGTGAATAGATATATATGTGCATATGTACGTGTGCTATGTTTCATCTCCCCAGGGAAAGTCTCTCATACAACAGGCAAAATGACACCTGTTCTTAACATCCTACTGATTTACCATAAGTAATATTTTACCAAGAATTCATAGTTATGTGTAGAGATATGAGTCATCTGTTAGGAGCACTGGCTGCTCTTCCAGAGGACCCTGGTTTGGTTCCTGTTATCCATACTGCTGCTCACAATCATCTGTGACCCCAGCTCAGGGGACCTGACACCCTTTTCTGGCTTCCTCCGACACCAGGCATACACTGGTGCACATAATACATGCCAGTGAACTACTCATACATATGAATAAAAGCTAAAAGGAATAGTTAAATGGCTTACTTTTTGGCATTGGCATAGGCTGACAGGCTGAGATCCACATCGACAAGCAGCGGCTTGTTTTTCTGAGGCTTCTGCAGCTGCTTGTTCTTTTGCTTTTTCTTTTTCCCTTTTGGTGGTTCAGCATCGCTGTTCCCAACACTGGCATCACCATCATCATCTTCCTCCTCTGATAACAAGTATGGATTTCTATTAAAAATATTCAATAGTATTTCACTAATGTCAATGACATCACTTTTCATTTCAAATTTTCCTCAATAAAATTAGAAATGATTTAGTTATATATTTTCTATGTGAAAAGAATACAACGAACAATTAACAAATAAAAGCAGTCACTAGCTGGTAAGGAGCACACTCACCGTAGCAGCATGGTAACGTGGTTTGTTTGCAGCTTTAGTTCTTTGATTGCAGTGGCCACAGGGTCTCCCTGGGCCTGGGCTTCTTTCACAATCACTCCAATTTCTGTCCAGTCTATCTGGTTGGCTAATGCACTTCGGACGACCTGGATGGCTCGGTCGACTATCTGTAGGTTCATCTCTATGAGCTCTCCTTTCAGTTTGTCCAGTTCCTAAGAAACAAACCCAATGTATTTACTATAAAGCCAGCTGAGATGATCACGTTCGGAGAAGAACTGGAAAAGCTCGGCATAATACCTGAGCCTGCTGGAGAGCTTCTAGTCTGTTTTCATGGTCCTTTCGAACGTTATCTAATTTCTTCAGGGCTTGTTTTTCCTTTCAGTAACAAAACAGAATTTTCAGGTTAGGTTTCTTTCAATGCACAGCACTTCTACCCCCAATTCCTAAAACTTACTGTCCTAATGGTTCCTCTACCCGTCAATGGTATCACATAGGCAGCTGGAAGGTTTCTCCATAAGCCAGGTGACGGTGGCGCACGCCTTTAATCCCAGCACTGGGGAGGCAGTGGCAGGCAGATCTGAGTTTCAGGACAGCCAGCAGTACACAGAGAAATCCTGTCTTAAAAAAACCAAAAAGAAAAAAAGTCTCCCCATAGTTCACTCCCTCAAGACATGTCATGTTGAAATATTATCTCTGTCTACCTCCCAGTCCCTGTATGCTTTGGTTACAAGTAAGTTATATATAAAATATGACCCCCAACTCCCTTGGTATTATTCAAGCAGGCAAAATTCAAGATTTCTTAAGGCATGTAAGTTTTTCTTTCTTTCTTTTTTTTGTTTTTTTGAGACAGGGTTTCTTTGTGTAGCTTTGTGCCTTTCCTGGAACTCACTCTGTGGCCCAAGAGGGCCTCAAACTCACAAAGATCTGCCTGCCTCCCGAGTGCTGGGGATTAAAGGCATGTGCCACCGCCACCTGGCTAAGTTTTTCTTTCTTTTTTTTTTTTTTTTTTTTGTTTTTTCGAGACAGGGTTTCTCTGTGTAGCTTTGCGCCTTTCCTGGATCTCGCGCTGTAGACCAGGCTGGCCTCGAACTCACAGAGATCCGCCTGCCTCTGCCTCCCGAGTGCTGAGATTAAAGGCGTGCGCCACCACCGCCCGGCTACCTTTTTTTTTTTTTTTTTTGGTAAGTTTTTCTTTCTTATGTAGCATTAGAGATCAAACCCAGGGCCTCATGAATACCAAGAAAGCACTCTACCACTGAATTACATCAGTAGCTCCAAATAAAAAGTTTTTTAGTTTATTTTAGTTACATGTATGTGTGAATGTGTACTTGATTACAGGTGCCCATGGAGGCCAGAGAGAACACTGGATCTCCTGGAGGTGGAATCAGAGGTGATTTTGAGCAGCCCAATGTGAGTCGTAGGAATTCAATTTGTGTCCTCTCCAAGAACATCATGTGCTCTTAACAGCTGAGCTCCCTCCACACCCCCATAAATTCTTGTGTAAAATATGTATTTAAAGATTGTATGTGTGTATGTGTGTGGATTTCTATATGTGAAGTCCAGAAGAGGGTTCAAATCTCCTAGCACTGGAGTTACAGACAGTTGTGAACCTCTTGGCATGGCTGCTGGGAACTGAACCCGGGGCCGCTGTAAGAGCATTATGCACCCTTACCCATCTCTCTGGCCTCCCAGTAAGTTCTTTAAAAGTACAAACTAGGGGCTGGAGAGATGGCTCAGTGATTAAGAATACTTGCTGTTCTTGCAGAGGACCTAGTTTTGGTTCCCTGAATCTTCATGGTGACTCATAAGCATCTGTAACTCCAGTTCCACGCAATCTGACACCCTCTTTTGACCTTCATGGGCAACAGGCACACATGTGGTACACATATATGCAGGCAAAACACTTATACACATAAAATAAGTACATCTAAAATCAACTTATTTTTTTCTTTCTTCAAGTCACAGTCTCACTATGTAGCCCTGGCTGTCCTGGAACTCGCTCTGTAGAACAGGCCGGCCTTGAACTCAGAGATCCACCTTCCTCTGCCTCCCCAGTGCTGGGATTAAAGGTGTGCACAACCCCACCCTCACTAAAATCAACTTTTTAAAGGCACAAATTATTGTCTTATTGACGTTTAGTTATCTCAGCATTAAATTCCAGTACTTTTCATTAACACCTTTCCCTCACATAATAATACAAAGGTTCAGAGAAGTTATTTGCCCTCCTGTATAACATTTATCAGACATAATTTATACTTCAGAGTTTGTTTTTTGAGACAGGGTCTTATATGCAGCAGACAAGGCTGGCCTCACACTCACTAGCCTAATTCCTGATCCTCCTGACTCCACTTCTCATCAGCAGGCATTACAGGCATACACTACCATCCTGACTTATATTTCAAAATTACTGATTTGAGGACTTTATTTTAAACTTTATAGCATCACCAATTAATTATTATTTAAATGTTGGACAAAATACCTAAAGGATATAATTTATAAGAGTGGGGACTATTAAAAGTGATTATCACAAGAAGTTATTGGTATAGTCTGAGTATCCTTAAACCTAGGTGTTTGGTACATTTCTTATAATGGAGTTGTTTTGGATTTTGGAATACCTGTATATACACTATCAGCTGTGCAACCCTAATATAAATATCTAAAACCCTTTCAATATCATTGTGTTGATCTAATGCATATAAAATTGCATTGGTGCCCTAATGCAGTGGGACTAGGCATGCATGCATCCATCCATCCATACATACATACATGCAGGCAAAATATTCATACCTATAAAATAAATAAATCTAAATTTTTTAAAAAATATTAAAAAAATAAATAAATAAAATAATGAATATCGCTGTGCATGCTTTTAATCCCAGCACTTAGGAGGCAGAGGCAGATCCATCTCTGTGAGTTTCGGGACAGCCAGGGCTATGTATAGACTCTGTCTCAAAAAACAAAATTAAAAATACAATAATAATATTGATAATGAGTATTCTTGCTAAATATCTGTTCTCCAGCCAGTGTCCTGCCATCATGTGACAATCACATGATGCAATTAATTTAACTACATGCTTGGAAATTGTACTATTTTAAAACAAAAAAGTGTATAGGCAGTCATATAACTTGAAATCTTGCACTATTTTTGTTATGTTTAACTCTTTTTTTTTTAAGATTTATTTATTTATTATGTATACAGTGTTCTGCCTGCATGTATTCTTGCAGGCCAGAAGAGGGCACCAGATCTCATTGTAGATGGTTGTCATCACCATGTGGTTGCTGGGAATTGAACTCAGGACCTCTGGAAGAGCAGCCATGCTCTTAACCTCTGAGCCATCTCTCCAGCCCTTTAACTCTTTTTTTGTAACAACATTTTATTTTCCCCTTTCCCTCCAGCCCCTCCCATGCACACTCCTTTGCTCTTTGCCCAAACTCAGCCTTTCTTCAACCATTGTTATACACATTTCCCCCACCCCCCACGCCAAATACTAAAATACAACCTGCTCAGTCCACATAATACTACCAGTATGTATATGATCTCAGTGCTGCCCACCTAGCACTGGACTCCAATTCAGGGGCTTTCCCTGGGGAAGACCATTTCTCCCACTCTCAGCATTCCATAGTTGCCCACAGTTCTTTGGGGTTGAGGCCCTATGGCTAATATTTTTGAAAAAAATCAAATCCCTTCCAAATTAAAAGTGACTTTGGGATATATTGTATGAGAGAATAAATAAAAATTAAAAAGAAAAAAAGAAACAGATCTATAGCACATGCTCTAAAAACGTGGTCAAATATGCTGCAAAAATAGTGCATGTAAAATCCTCATTGACAAATCATCATACAGAACAGACAAGGACTTAGTTTTAAAGCAGCTTAAGAAAAAGAATACAAAGTTTACAATAAAGAAACAGAACAGAAAATATTCTCCCCTGGCCCATGGAACGTGTTCCTTATAATGTAGTCTCATAATTTCCAAGTCTGAGAAGCTCTGGGTTGCTTTAAAGATCCTGAGTCATACTAGGGTATGTAACAGGTTTTAGAAAGATGAGAAATGGAACCAAAGTGGGAGGATGGAATGAGGCATACTTCTCCACGGGACTCCCCTGGGCTTTTATCATAAACTAAGAGAAGGGCAGGTCAGGGTGGCATATGCCTTCAATCCCAGATCTCAGTTTGAGGCCAACTTGATCTGCACATCGAGTGACAAGACAAGCCAGGAATGCAGTGAGTCCCTAGCTCAAAAGAAAACACTGGGGCTGGAGAGATGCTCAGTGGTTAAAAGTAGTTGCTGCCCTTCCAGAGGGCTCTTCAGTTCTCAGAATTCACATGATAGTTCAGAACTATCTGTAACTCCCGTTCCGGGGGGTCTGATCTGAGAACTCTCATACAATGTTCCTTACTTCTAGAAGGCAACTTATTCTTTTTTTTAATTAATTAATTTATTTTTTTAAATTACACTCATGATATTCAATAATTACACTCATGATATTAACTACATTTGTGTTATTCATTGATCCCATTCGCAGTATTCATTCAATATTTATATTTATGATATTCATTAATTACATTAGTTGTATAGATTTATTACATTCATGATATTATGTCCTGATACTACTATCCATTTGTGGGGTTTTTCCATCACACAGATAAGAGATTCTGTACTTAGGAAATCATTGCTCTATATTCCTTTCTTCTCTATCTTGAGATAATGTCTAATCTTTCTGTCTCTATGAATTTGTATATTCTATATTTCATGTAATACAATTCTATAGTATTTGTCCCTTTTTTTAACATAAAAACATTTTATGTACAACTGGAGGAGAAAAAACACACAGATCGTTTGAACATAAAAACAGGTTATAATTTAAAAGTCGCAACTTATTCTTAAATGAAAGCATATTTACCTCCAAACCACTTTGACTAGCTAGTCTAGTACAAATATTTTAAATAATACTATACCTGTTGTAAAGCTTTTAAATCAATTTTCTGACCTTCTATCTTGGAATAAAATTCATCCACGGCCTTATTAAAAAAAAAAAAGACAATTGGCTATAAGGAAAAAAAGCATGGTCTCTACTTCACCTTGCACACACACAGTGTTAGCCTGTTTTATACTGTAGTGCCCTCACTGGACCTGACCACATTTCCAATAATACAGCTAACAATGTCAAGAATAAAAATAAGGTCAAGTATTTAGTTGTATCTTTAAATAAAAATGGCAACAACTGTTTCTAATAGTTGTATCTGTAACTGTATTGATTTTTAATCAATCCCCAGATTCACACTGACTGCAAGGCAAGAATATTTTTTGAGTTACTTTTCTTTCTTCTTCTTTTTTGTTTTTTTGCAGTGTTGAGGATTCAATCCAGGGCTTTGTACATGCACTCACAATGGGCTACACTACACACCGAACCCCAAGACAGCATAAACAATTCTTACAACTCATGTCATGTTAACCAGTGAAAAAACAGAACTAGAAAACCCACCTTGTCAAATGATTCAAATTCTATATATGGACATTGTAAATGTTGAGAAAACAAGAAAGGATGAAATTCCTCATACCTGTAAAACATATTTATTATATCACAATTAAGAATATTAATTAGCATACAAAGCAAACTGACCCATGGCTACATACGTGAGTATTTCTTCAGCTGGTTTATCTGCATTCAGGCTTGGTTTTACCTCTCTTTTCTGAATTATATAGCCCTACAAAAACAAAAAACAAAAAGCAACTAATATTAGACTCATCTATATTCACAACTAACAAAAACTGACATAATGACTGTTGTTTTTTCTAATTAAAGATGCATTTTGAATATGAAAGAAAAATATTAAAGTATGAGGTAATTTTCTAATTGTTTAACTATGAGGAGATTATAAGCCACCATTTTTTTTAAGTGCTAGCAAATTAAAGAATGCTTCTCTAAAATCAATTCAAGATGAAACATTTTAGCCAGGTACTGTGATTCCTGCCTATAAACCCAGCACTTGGGAGGCCGATGTGGAACATCTTGAGTACTAAGGCCATTCTGGGCTCCATAGCAAGACCTTGTATCAAAGAAAGAGAAACTGGATGGAGTAAGCACTTCAGACTGCCTGTTGCTTTTCCAGAGGACCCAAGTTTGGTTCCCAGCACCCATAATAGGAGGCTCACAACTGCCTGTAACTCTAGTTCCAAGGGATCGACACCTTCTTTTGGCCTCCAAGGGTACTAACACACTGTGGCATGCATTCACATATGCACATATACATACATGCAATTAAAAATCTTTAAAAAAAAGTCAAACTTTTTTTCTTTTACACAAATTCCTCAACTGTTCTTCTCTTTTGTAGATTTTGTTTTGTTTTGTTTTGTAAGATTTTGTTTAGAACCTCTGGTTGGCTTTCAACTTGCTATGCAGGCAAGGATGACCTTAGACTTTTGATCCCCCTGCCCCCACCTCTCAAGTGCTAAGATTACAGGCATGCACTCATAGTGCCTAATTTATGCAGTGCTGGGGACCAAACCCAGGACCAAGTGTACTCTAGGCAAGACTCTTATCAACTGAGTTTTACCTTGAGCCCCAACACAGTATTTTCTATAAAAGATAAAGGATAGAAAAAATTTTTACGAAGAGACTACCCCAGAACCAGGTGTATAGTCTAATAGTACAGAATGAATTTGTATATACAAGGCCTTGCATTCAAGCCACACATAAGAAAAACAAAACTCTAAGTTAGAACAATAAATAGATAAAAGATATTAAATAGATAAAAGATAATTTATTTCTGGAAATCCAGTAAGATCAAAATAATACGAGGCTGCTGAGATGCAACAATGGGTAAAGATGTCTGTCACCAAGCCTGACAAGCCTGAGTTTGATCCCTAGGACCCACACAGTAAAGGAATTAGTCAACTCCTGCAGGTTGTCTAACCTTTTCAGGGCTATGATACCTCCCCAATAAACAGATACATGTAAACAATACACGGCAAATATTTACACGATGCTGCTACCTTTCCATTGAAGTTGGATGTTTTTCTCATATAGTCTTCTGCCTTCTGCACACAAACCAGGATTTTTTCAATATCTAATGGAGAAATAAAAACAAGAGGAAAGGGATGCCAATCAAGTTGATTAACCACTATTAAATAACTATGTATTACTTATTTTCGTTTTTTTTTGAGGCAGGATCTCATTATGCATTATGCAGTGCTGCCACACCTGGCTCAATATATTTATTAAAATACAAAAACAGCAGGAAGGTAGCTAGGTATGGTAGTACAGGCCTCTAATACCAGCAGTAAGGAGGCTGAAGCAGGACAATCATGAGTTCAAGGCCAACTTTCCCAGTAAAACCCTATCTCAGGAAACAAAACAAAACAAAACAAAACAACAACAAAAAAAAACAACCAAAAAACTGGGATGTTGTCAAGTCTCCAGAAGTTGAAGGAAGAAGACCAATTCCTAACAAGCCGCCCTCTGAACACACACATAAACACACTAAATCTAGTAACAATAAAAATAAAAATAGAGCTGGGCGGTGGTGGCGCACGCCTTTAATCCCAGCACTCGGGAGGCAGAGCCAGGCGGATCTCTGTGAGTTCGAGGCCAGCCTGGGCTACCCAGTGAGTTCCAGGAAAAGGCACAAAGCTACACAGAGAAACCCTGTCTCGAAAAACCAAAAAAAATAAAAAAATAAAAATAGGCCCATGAGATGGCTGCACAAGCCTAGAGACATGAATTCAATCCCCAGAACCCAACATAAAGGTGGAAAGAGAACAGAGTTGGTCTTAGACCTCCACATAGATGCTATGGCATGTGTCCTGTCTCTCCAACACTTATCAGGCACACATGCGCACACACACACACAAATTTTAACAAAAAAAGGAAAAGTATTAATGAAATAATGTAAGTGCTTAATAAAATGAGTAAAGTAAGGTAAAGTTGATTGGCTAGTAGCCAAGCAGGAAGTATAGGCGGGATAAGCAAACAAGGAGAATTCTGGGAAGAGGAAGGCTGAATCAGGAGATGCCAGCCCGCCCATCCAGGGAGCAGCATGTAATGGCACACAGGTAAAATCACGAAACATGTGGCGACATATAGATTAACGAAAATGGACTGAGTTTAAGTTTAAGAGCTATTTGGTAGTAGGCCTGAGCTAATGACGGAGCAGTTTTAATTAATATAAACCTCTGTGTGTGTTTATTTGGGTCTGAGCAGCTGCTGGCCCAGGAGGGAGAGAAAACTCCAGCTACACACCACCATCTGTTGTCACTAGAGACAAAGAAGATACATGGCACTAGTATATTTCAGGAAGCATTTGATTTGTATTTTGTTTATTTATTTGGCTGTTTTTCAAGACAGGGTTTCTTGTGTAACACTCCTGGCTATCCTGCAACTTGTTTTGTAGACTAGGCTGGACTCAACCTCACAGAGACCCGCCTACCTCTACCTCCCAAGTGCTGGGATTAAGGTCATGCACCATTACCACTTGGCATTGATTTGTATTTTTAAACAAACAAAATTTCATTCATAAAATGAAAATTATCTCTATACCTTAGAAAATGATAAATAATACTCAAACACAAACACTAGGAATGTTTCAAACATCATATAGAGTCAAACAGGTCATAATCTGTCCAAGAACAAATCTTCCTTACATTTACTTTTTAAATCCTTTTTAAATAACAGCTTTAAAATAGTTATTATTTTATTTTTAAAATATTTATTTATTATTATATGTTTGTGTGTGTGCCTCAGTGTGCAGGTGGTGACTTAGTGGACAGCTTTCGGGAGTCAGTTTGATCCTGGAATCAAACTCAGGTCATCAGGCTTGGGAGCAGGTACCCTCTCACTGGCCCTACTTTCTTATTCTTCTCATTCTGATAAGTTAGCTTCCATAAGTAATTACTAGAGCCTAATTTCATCATGCAGCCACTTTACAGGACCGCAGAAATTCAAATGTATGATGAATGCTATTTCTAGATGCACCCTGTGCTTTTAGTCAAAAGGCTAGTAATCCAACTAATCAAGATGTCTACTATCCCAAGCTCAGTATTCAGTGCAAAACCTAGAGGGTATGAAAAGAAAAGTTCTAAAGTTCAAAGGCATGAAGGCAGACAAGACAAAGTGCTGATTAATAGGGGTAAATGTCCACACTGGAGGAGGGGTGGGGGAAAAGCCAAATGTGTAGGATGCTCTGATCAAAGTTTGTTTGTTGTTTTTTGTTGCTCTTTTTAATTAAAAAAAATATTTTTTTGAGACAGGAACTCACTACGTTGCCCAGATTGTCTTCAAACTCACCAAAATCCACTCTTAGCATTGAGATTACAGGTATGAACTACCATTATTTATCTTTATATATTTACATATATATGTATGTATGTAAAAGGACAGGGGTAGGGCCCAAATGTAGAGGTCAGAGGACAAATAAAAAGCTGGACCTGGTTCTTTCCTTCCAACATGTGGATCCTGGAGATCAAACTTAAGATCCTCAGGCTTGACAGCAAGGCCTTTACCTGGTGAGTCATTTTACCAATCCCAGACCAAAGTTTTCTAAGTCTAGAGTTATCCTTTCACTTCTAACTTTAAAAAGTTAAGTTATTCCTAGTAAAGAAACAAGGGCCAAAGGCTGGAGAGATGGCTCAGTAGGTAAGAGCACTGGCTATTCTTCCAGAGGACACAAATTCAATTCCTGGCATCCACCATGGTGGCTCACATGGGTTCTTACTCCAGTCCCAAGGGACCTGACACCTTCTTCTGGCCTTCCAGGGCACCAGGCAACCAGGCAAGCATGTAGCAAACAGATACACAAGGAAGCAAAACATTCCTACACGTTAAAAAGGAAGGAAAAGGCTGGGCGGTGGCTCACACCTTTAATCCCAGCACTTGGGAGGCAGAGCCAGGCGGATCTCTGAGTTAGAGGCCAGCCTGGTCTACAAAGCAAGTTCCAGGACAGGCTTCAAAGCTACACAGAGCAACCTTGTTTCGAAAAGCCAAACAAAACAAAACAAAAAAACAACAAAAACCAGGAAGGGAAAGAAAGAAAGAAGGAAGGGCGGGCTAGGTGTGCTAGCACACACATGTGATCTCAGCATCCAGGAGGCGGAGGCAGAAGGCTCAGAGCTCAAGATGACACTGCACTACAATGTAGGAGAAAGCTTATTTCCAAAAAAAATCAAATCGGAAAAAAGTAAATAAATGAGGTGTTTATCAGCAGTACATTTTTCTAGGACTTGTGGGTTCTTAGTTTTAATTTCCAGTACCATAAAACTTCAAAGAAAAAGGATCAAAGGAAAAAGGAAACAAGTGAAAATGTACAAAATCTGGACCATGCAGACATACATACCTTTGCTTTCAAGTTTTTCACCCACTTTGACATTGCCAGAGAATCCATTTTCTATAAGACAGTGCTCAATAAGAGCTGGTCCATAGGCTACAAAAGCAAAGAGCATTGTTGTTAGTATTTTCCTTTAGGACTTCACATTTAAAACATAGTATAAATTTATAGCTCAGGGGGCTGGAGAGATGGCTCAGTGATTAAGAGTACTGGCTGCTCTTCCAGAGAACCCAGGTTCAATTCCCAGCACCCACATGGCAGCTCACAACTGTCTATAACTCCAATTCCAGGGGATCTGACACTTTCACACCAATGCACATAAGATAAACTTAAATAAATTTTAAAAAATTTATAGCTCAGTATGAATAACCTACTCAATATAAATAGCCAGGGAAAGTAATTTTACTTCTTTTCAAATGGTAGTAGAATTAAGACCTGAAGTGAAGAGAGGAGTCTGAAATTACAGCAAGCAGAGAATTCGTGCATGTTACAGGTATTTAATGGCATTAAGCAACACACATATAAGATTAGCTAGAAATGTAGTTCAGTGGCAGAGCACTTGCTTAGCACATTAAACAACAAACAAACAAACAAACAAAAACCCCTAGGCTTGACCCTTAATACCACAAAGAAATCATAAGGAAAATTATAAACCATGACCAGGAAGGATTTGTCATTGTATTTCAAGGTTGATTTGGTTTACAAAAATCAACTAAAATATTACAATTAACGAATGTGCAATACTACTTTTCAAAAGATACACAAATGGCCAAAAGTTATGGAAAACATGTTCTACACAGGTTGGAGAGACAGTTCAGCAGTTAAACTCAAGTGTGATTCCCAGCACCTACATCAGGTAACTCACAACCGGACCTAACTCTAGTTCCAGGAGGATCTGATGCCTCGGGAGCTCTACAGGCAATGGCACACAAATTCACATACCCACACACCAATACACATAAATAAAATAAAATACAGTTGTACAAGACCACTAATTATCCACAAAATGCAAACCAAAACAATAATGAGGTAACATCCTACAAAGTGAGTTACACAAGATAGCCAGGGCTACACAGAGAGATCCTGTCTCAAATACAAAAGAAAAAAGAAAAGAAAGAAAAGAAAAAAGATAAGGTAAGAAAGAAAGAAAGGGAGAGAGAAAGGGAGAAAGAAAGACTGCAATATTATTTGGATATTAAAAAGAACGAAATCCTGTCATTTTGTCATTTGCAATAACAAGAATGGAACTGTGTATTATTATGTTAAATGAAATAAGCTAGGTATAGAAACACAAGAACTACATTATTTCACAGTACGTAAAATCTAAAAATATTAAATTTCAGAAACAGAGAGTGGTAAACAGGGGAACAGGCATGACAGGTTAGAGAAAGGCTGATCAGTGGGTACTGAGTTCGACAGAGTTAGAGAGTATAAAGTTGTGGTATATTACCGCATAGTAGGGTGACTAAAGATAACACAAACACTGCACATGTATATTAAAATCTTGTTACCTTAATAATATATACAGTTTTTATTAGGTACCAGATTTTAAAAAAAAAATGTTGGGCATGTTGGAACATGCTTTCCATCCCAAGAGGCTGAAAACAGCAAGATCACAAGTTGGAATCCAGCTTTTACTACACAGTAAAGACATGTCAAAAATTTAAAAACAGGTGGGTAGGAAGCTAGACAGAGATGGCTCAGTGGTTAAGAGAGCACTTACTGCTCTTGCAGAGAACCTGGGCACACTCTGGTAGTTCCCAGAACCCACATGGTAGTTTATAACCATCTATAAGTCCACTTCCAGGGGATCCAGCATTCTCTTCTGACTCCCTGGGCATCAGGCACATACACACAGGCAGGCAGGCGCGCGCACACGCACGCGCGCGCACACACACACACACACACACACACACACACACACACACACGCGCAAGCAAAACACTAAATTAAAAAACTAAAATAAAAAGAAAGAGCCCAGGACATAGCTTGGTGTAAGGAGGAGGATTCAACCAATATCAAACTCAGAAAAAAATATTTAAATTAAAACAAACAAAACAACTGGCTAATAAGATAAACCATATTCACAGAACATATTCATATTCATAGAACAATCATATATCAGTGAGATGCAGAAAACCATCTGAAAATTCCACCACCGATTCCTATTTGAAAACACCCAATAAAAGAACCATTTCCATTTGTCAATGGATACTTATAAAAAAAAAAACAAAAAAAACAAAAAAAAAAAACAAACTACTGCTAATACCATACTTACTAATAAAACACTAAAAATATTCTCTCTCAGATGAGGTAAAAGGCAAAGCTATTAATTTTTACCACAGCTACTTAGCATTGTACTCTAGATCACAGTTGGTATAGTAAGAATTAATTTCTCAGCACCTACATGGTGGCTCACAATCATTTGTAATGGGATCTGATGCCCTCTTTGGTGTGTAGACAAAGCATGCACATACATAAAATATATAAATAAATCTTAGCAGACATACACACAGGCGAAATACCATACACATAAAACAAATAATTTTTTAAAAGATATAATTATCCAAAAGCATTCAAAGTAAAACAGAAAAAGCAGCTTTATTCTCAGAGGAGATATGACCCTATATGCTAAAAATTCCTAAAGACTACACACACACACACACACACACACACACACACACACACACACACACACACATTCAGTCTTCTAGACTAAATGACTTTATCAGCTCTGAAAGATACAATATATAAAAATTAAGTTTATATAAATATCAAAATATATAAATATCAATTGGGGGCTGGAGAGATGGTTCAGTAATTAAGAGAAATTGCTAATCTTAGTGAGGATGTTGGTTTAGTTTCAACAATCACAGTGGCTTATAACCACTGTGATGCCAGTTCCAGGGGACCTGACTACCTCTTTTGACCTGTGTGGACACTAGACATACATGTAGGTACTCACATATATATAAAAAGTAAAAACAAATATTTTTAAAAAATCAATTGTATTCTTAACAAAAAATGAAACTAAGAGGGGCTGGAGAGATGGCTCAGAGGTTAAGAGCACTGTCTGTTCTTCCAGAGGTCCGGAGTTCAATTCCCAGCAACCACAACCATCTATAATGAGATCTGGTGCCCTCTTCTGGCCTACAGGCGTATGTGCAGACAAAACACTATACATAATAAATAAATAAATAAATAATATCTTTGCCGGGCGGTGGTGGCGCACACCTTTAATCCCAGCACTCGGGAGGCAGAGCCAGGCGGATCTCTGTGAGTTCGAGGCCAGCCTGGACTACCAAGTGAGTTCCAGGAAAGGCGTAAAGCTACACAGAGAAACCCTGTCTCGGAAAAAAAAAAAAAAAAAAAAAAAAAAAAAAAAAAAAAAATGAAACTAAGAAAACAATTCTATGGGCCAGTGAGATGGCTCCACAGGTAAAGGTTGCCACTGCCAAGTCTCATGACCTGAGTTCAATCCCAAGACCCCCACACATTGGAAGAATTGACTCCCGCCAAGTTGTCTTCTGACTGAGATCCACTGTGCACCATGGCTTGAGTGTGCCCACTCTCACAAAACAAATTAAAATATAATTATTGCTTTGTTCTTTATTTTTGCAGACAGGGTCTCATTATGTCATAGTTGTCCTGGAACTCCCTATGTAAACCAGGTTAGCCTCAAACCCAGAGACCTGACTGCCTCTTTCCAAGTGTTGGTATTAAAGGCATGAGCTATCATGCCTAGTAATTTTTAAAAACTATCAACACAAAAAGAAAATCCAAGCATTTAAGAATAAAATTTATCTTTTTTTTAAAAAAAAAAATAAAATTTATATACACAAACTATAAAATACTCAAAAGAAAAATCCAAATAAATGGTAAGATGTTCTTTGTTCACAAAAGACTCTGCAAATTCAGACTGCTATTCTCCCCACAGAATCAATGCAACCCTCATCAAAATCCTAGCAAATTTTTGTTGTTGTAGAAAGTAATACTCCAACTCTAAACTGTACAATGAAATGCAAAAGGATAGTCAAAGGCTTCGGAGGAAAAAAGAAAGATCTAAGAATATTTAAATTACCTAATTTCAAAAGCCATAGAAATCTGCCAAGATAAACTGTAGCAGGAGGATCACCATGGATTTAAGGTTGCCTGCACTACATAACAAGTTCAAGGCTAGCTGAACCATGCCTGTGTCAAAACCAAAGCAAACCAAACAGACAAAAGGACATGGTAAGGCTGAGAGGGACGAGAGAGAATGAATATCTGGCAGAGGCTATCAGTCTTGAGGTCCACAAACTTTGTAAAATTATAAAATAAATACTGGGCTGGAGAGACGACTCAGAGGTTGACAGCATTGGCTGCTCTTCCAGAGGTCCTGAGTTCAATTCCCAGCAACCACGGTGGCTCACAACCATCTATGAGATCTGGTGCCCTCTTCTGGCATGCAGTCATACATGTTGTATACATAATAAATAAATAAAGTAATATAAATACAAACAACTAAGCTAAGTGGTTTTTAAACAAAACAGTTATTTGAAAAAAAAAAAGCAAATACTCTGTATTCTACAATACTGAGGTACTGATAACATATTCTGTATCACTTTTATTTATTTATTTATTTTTTGGTTTTTTTCAAGACAGGGTTTCTCTGTGTAGTTTTAGTGTCCGTCCTGAACCTTGCTCTGTAGACCAGGCTGGCCTTGAACTCACAGAGATCTGCCTGGCTCTGCCTCCCGAGTGCTGGGATTAAAGGCATGCGCCACCATCGCCTGGCCACTTTTATTTTTTAAAAAGATGTGTTATTTATGTGTATTATGTGTGTATGTAGGTTTACTTGCATCAAGGGCAAACAAGAGCTCATGGAGGCCAGAACAGCATCGGAAGCCCTAGAACTGGTTGTGTTACAGGCATCTGAGAGCAACAAGTGGGTACCGGGAACTGAATTAGATCTTTATGAGCAGCACGCACTCTTCACCACTAAGTCATCTCTCCAGCCACTGTGTTTATATTTGAGAAAAGGGCTACTCATCCATCTGTCCCAAGTTGGCCTTGAGCTGACTGCAAAGTCAAGGGATGACCTCAAACTTCTGATCCTCCTGCCTCCCAAGGGTACTGGGATTGTAGGTGTGGACCATCAGGCCACTTTGACGTAATGCTGGGGGTTGAGCCCAGGGCTCTGTGAATGCTAAGCAGGCACTCTATTAACTGAGCTATAAGCAGCTCCATCTGTACTGTTTTTAAATAAGATCGAACCAATATAAAAATCTCCATCTTTCAGGACAATGAAGCTTAGTGGTAGACGGCTGCTGATCATCATAGAGCCCTGGGCTCAATGTCCAGCACCACAAAACAAACAAAAACTTCTTTCTTTGAGAATAAAACCATAATTACTCAAAAGATCCCTTTTAACTTCTTGTTCAAAAAAAATAATAATAATGCTTTATTTTTATTTATGTGTATGTTATGTAAATGTATGCCTCATGTGTGTGGATACCCATGAAGGCCAGAAGAGGGTATAAGATCCCTTGGAGCTGGAGTTATAGGCGGTTATGAACCACTGGTCATGGTGCTGTGAACTGAATTTAAGTATCTTTCCAGCCCCTTGCTCAATTTTTTGAAAGGGAAAAAAAAATTTAAATATATTCGTGAAAGTGTTGTCACACAAACATCTTACTGCAAAATGCAGGAGTACTCACGAAGTAATGGATTAAGAACTCTCTTCAGCAGTTCACCCTTAGGAACACTAGCTAGGACTTCAGTCAATCTGTGGACAAAATTGGCACATTTTTATCATCTTATACTTAATAAACTTTATAGCATTATTCACATTCATATTACCTTCATCTACATCAATTTATTTAATCTTTCTTTACAAGAGTCTGAAATTATTCTTGTAGATATAAAAAACTAGTCCTAAAAGTAATTTATCCATGAGCTAGAGATGGCTCAGAGGTTAAGAACACTTGCTCTTGCAGAGGACCAGAGGTCCCTTCCCAGCACCCACAACTGGTAGATCACGACCATCTGTAATTCCAGCTCCAGGGGCTCTGATGCCCTCTTCTAGTCTCTGTAGAGCGCACAACACACGCACGCACATACATGGGCAAACATGTGCACACACACTCACTTTAAAAGGAATTTTTTTAGCCGGAGCTGGGTATGGTGATATATGATTATAATCTTGAGTCAGAGGTAGATGGAACACCCTGAGTTCAAGGCCAGACTAGGCTACACAGCAAGACTCTATATCAACACACACATACACACTCTCATGATTTATTCACAATTAGAAGGTTATTGAATGTTAACCTGAGACAAATCCAGGTTTTCTATAAGAAATCTGTATTTTTTGGCTGGGCGGTGGTGGCGCACGCCTTTAATCCCAGCACTCGGGAGGCAGAGGCAGGCGGATCTCTGTGAGTTCGAGGCCAGCCTGGGCTACCAAGTGAGTTCCAGGAAAGGCGCAAAGCTACACAGAGAAACCCTGTCTCAGAAAAAAAAAAAAAAGTATCCTTTGGAGCCGGGCAATGGTGGCGCACGCCTTTAATCTCAGCACTCGGGAGGCAGAGCCAGGGAGATCTGTGAGTTTGAGGCCAGCCTGGACTACAGAGCGAGATCTAGGATAGGCACCAAAACTGCACAGAGAAACCCTGTCTCGAGAAACCAAAAAGAGAGTCCCCCTTGGATCTACTGCAATGGCAAGATGGAGCAGTTTACAGTTCAGCAAGCCCTCCCACTGATTCTGATGAATGCTGAGCTTGAAGAACATCAAGTGGACTACTAGGTGGCAAAGCCTGACAGTCAGAGAGGCTGTAATTAATCTCACCTTATCCTTTCACTTTTTCCTGAATAAATCAGAACCACCCACACTACACTCTGCCTGCCTAACGTATCTGTCTTCTCACAGAACAGTGAAGTCAGCACCTCACTTTGCCAAGAAATCAGAAGCACCAAGAAACACAAACAGCGCTGGGCGGTGGTGGCGCACGCCTTTAATCCCAGCACTCGGGAGGCAGAGCCAGGTGGATCTCTGTGAGTTCAAGGCCAGCCTGGGCTACAGAGTGAATTCTAGGGCAGGCTCCAAAGCTACACAGAGAAACCTTGTCTCAAAAAAAAGAAAGAAAGAAAAATCCAAACTGTATATAAAAAGACATCTACTTGAGGGCTGGGCTCGGTGGTGTATATCTTAATCCCAGCCGTCTAGAGGCAAAGGTGGATCTTTGTGAGTTCAAGGCCAGCCTAGTTTACACACAGTGTTCTAGGCCAGTCAGAGCTGCATAGTGAGACCTTGCCTTAAAAAGAGGGAGAGCCAGGGCGGTGGTAGTGCACGCCTTTATCCCAGCACTCAGGAGGCAGAGCCAGGTGGATCTCTGTGAGTTCCAGGCCAGCCTGGGCTACCAAGTGAGCTCCAGAACAGGCACCAAAACAGGGAGGGAGAGAGAGAAGGAGACATCTGCTACCCACAAATAAAATGTAATTGCTCATATGCATGTTTATACAATTCAGTGTTATACAATTAAACATATTTAATTCAATTTTTTCTGAAATCTAACCTAGTTTACGTTTTAATACAATATGATGATTGTATAAACACTGTTACCTTTCTAAAGTCAGCAAAGGTTCAGCAGCTCTGGCATGATCAATGGGATAGTGTTCACGAACAGCAAACTTAACATCATCTGCTTCATCAGTTCGAAACCTTAGAATATTTAAAATTAGGTACTCATAATCTGTAAGAACAATGTTCCCCTGCAATAGAGTAAAATATAATTTAATGCATTTACAAATCAGTCTTGAAGCATCTTAAAAACTGAAAAAGATGTCTCAGAAGACCTATAGCTACAGAAGTGAAACTGCAAAACAAAACCCAGCAGGCCATCTAAGTAGGGCTCCTTGAACTGACCCAACAGGCTGTGAAATGAATTCTAAGGACTCCAAGTTGGAAGCAACCTAGAGTAACCTAGAGCAAAGAACCTAGAGCAAAGAACCCAGAGCAACTTTACATTCTTTGTCTGCTTACTGCACAAGCTACCTGTAGTACTAACTGTGAAAACCTAACAGTTGAGTGCCTTTAATAAGCGTGCCAAAGCCAAGCATGAATGGCATTTGCCTATAATCCCAGCACTCAGAAGGTCGGAGATTCAGGAGTTCAAGGTAATTCTTGGCTACATAGCAAGTTTGAGGTCAGAGTTGAGTCTGTCTCACAAACCAACAACAAAAGTTCCAAGTTTCAAAAAAATTCAGGTCAAGAGAACATGAAATGTAAATGCATGAAAGTATGAAATAGCATAGTATAAAATGTCTGATAAAGGACAACAGTGTGGTGTAGCCAGGTGTGATGGGGCACAACTATAATCACAACATTCAGAAGGCTGAGGCAGGAAGATTCCAGATTCCAGGCCAGTCTAGGATACGTAGGGAGCCCTATTTTGAAGAGCCAAAAAAAAAAAAAAAAAAAGCAGGTTGGGGACACTGCTCAGTGGTTAAGAGTGCACACTGCTACTACACAGGACCTGAGCTAATTTCCAGCACCCACAGCAGGCAGCTCACCACTGCCTCTTACTCCAGTCCCAGGGGAATCTGAGGATTATTTTTTTGGCCCCTGTGAGCATTTGCATTCAAATGCATTCGTGCATGCCCACAAATACACATAATTAAGACTTACAAGATTCATTTTTAAAAATTAGGGAGCTGGAGAGATGGCTCAGCAGTTTAGAGAAGCTGTTACTCTTCCAGAGGACCAGGGTTCAATTCCCAGTCCCTACAGGGTGGCTAACGACCATTTGTAACTCCAGTTCCATGGAATTCAGCACCTTCTTTTGACCTTTTGCCCTCTACAGCAACCAGACAGAGGTTTTTGTTTCTATTTTTAAGACAGAGTTTCTCTAGGTAGCCCTGGCTGCCTGAAACTCACTCTGTAGACCAGGCTGGCCTCGAACTCAGATATCTGCCTGCCTCTGCCTCCCAAATGCTGGGATTAAAGGTGCCACCATTGCCCCAATACTGAAAATCTTTTTTACAAAATTAAAAAAACTAATTAAATAATCCCTCCCCTGCTACACTACTTTCTCATCTTATGTTACTTTTCTCAGAACTGCTCCTACTAAATGTATCATAACTTAAAAAAGTTTTGAATTTTTAGTATTTTTGTGTGTATATATGCATACACACACACACACACATATACATATATGCTGTGTGTGTGGTGGAGATGGCATATGAATGTGTCACACTCTGTGTGTGAATGTCAGAGGACAGGTCTGTGGAGTCGGTTCTCTCCTTCCATCTTTATACAGGTTCCAGGGAATGAACTCAGGTCTTCAGGCTTCATGGCATGCATTTTTAGCTCCTAAGCCATCTCAACAGCCCAAATTTATCATAAATTTATATTTCTCAGTTTCTTAAGTTGGTCTTAAGTTGCAGTGATCCTCTTTACACACAGTCTAATCAACCCTAGAAACACTAATCCTCAAAATTCCAGACATGAAAGCTAGGAGGAGGCTGGAAAGATGGCTCAGCGGTTAAGAGCACTAGCTGTTCTTCCAGAGGTCCTGAGTTCAACTCCCAGCAACCACATGGTGGCTCACAACCATCTGTAATGAGATGTGGTGTCCTCTTCTGGCATGCAGGCAGAACACCATATACATAGTAAATAAATAAATCTTTTAAAAAAAAAGAAAGAAAGAAAGAAAGAAAGAAAGAAAGAAAGAAAGCTAGGAGGTCAAATTCTGGTCCACAGAAAGGAAAGAGCAATCTTTAAAATATATAACTCACAAAGATCCGCCTGCCTCTGCCTCCCGAGTGCTGGGATTAAAGGCGTGCGCCACCACCGCCCAGCTTAAAATATATTCTTAACAACTTCCTTTCACAAATACCACAATGACTAAAAAGATTTCCAAGCGCACATTCTCATACATAAATTCTTAGTATTCACCACTAATTCATCACTTATTGGATTTCTAGAACCTAGACAGTATGCATACCTCCTTGCTCAGATCCTTCAAATGGAAACTCCCTAAAATCAATGATACATTGGAACAGAAAAATCATGAATGAAGACAGCCTACAATGCAATTAACATTATGTATCACTGTTTAACAAATATTATAAAACATTAGTAAAAACTAAGTGTACAATACACAAGAACGTGGTGTTATGTCCAAGTTTAAAAAAGTGTGTGTGTGTGTGTGTGTGTGCGCACTTGCGTGTGTCTTTAATCCCAGCACTCAGGAGGTAGAAGTAGGTGGATTTCTGGGAGTTTGAGGCCAGCCAGAGCTACACAAAGAAACCCAGCCTTGAAAAAATTTAAAAAAAAAAAAAGACTATTAGCAAAGATGTAGAATTAAAATAACTAATTTTTGTTTTCTTTTTTTTTTTTTCCGAGACAGGGTTTCTCTGTAGCTTTGGAGCCTATCCTGGACTAGCTCTGTAGACCAGGCTGGCCTCGAACTCACAGAGATCCGCCTGCCTCTGCCTCCCGAGTGCTAGGATTACAGGCGTGCGCCACCACCACCTGGCTAAAATAACTCTTAATATCATCAATTATAACGACAGTGCTAAACATGACGAACACCTTAAACATAACACTGAATGAAAGGAGTGAAAAACAAAAAGGGCATATTGCTCTATTCCTTACTCCTCTCAATTTAACTTACCCTATCATAGAGCTCAATGATTAAATGATAAGCAGCTTCATCACTTCCAAATTGGAAATCCACAATTCTATCCACACCAAGCTGTTTTGCACTGACTAATCTCCGACTCTTCAAATGTTTTCGACACTAGCAAGAAACAGAAGAAAAAAAGCATTTATGCAGTAAAAGTAAATTCCTAACTACCTGGTACTAGTTTATGAAAATTAGTTTTATGCCACTGAGAATATTTAAATGGTAAATAAAACAGTATTGTCATAAAACAAAAGCTTACAAATGATAATTAGAAGAAAAAAATTTTTACATATTTATTTATTTGGGGTATGTGTGGTAACACATGCATGCCACAGTGTGCATGTGGAGGTCAGTAAATAACTTGCACGAATGAGTTCTCTTCCACTCTCCAGGGATCAAACTCAGGTCAATAGGCTGGTAGCTTCTGTCCATTGAGCCATCCTGCCAGGCCCTCATGAGCGGGAAAATCCTTAAGCCTTTATTCTAATAACTTCTAACTGAAATGGTTGTTTTGTATTCTATTTTTCAGAATAATGATGAGAACCAGGGCAACTACTGACTTACCATACACTAGGCATTACCCTGCTTATGTCATATACCAATAGCTCTTTATTTATCTAAAATACCTTCTGCTCTTTTGAAAAAAAAAAAAAAACTTATCATTTAAGTAAACAAACATACTTAACTCATCAGATTGCTAAGAGTTTGTTATTGTTTTCTGTTTTGTTTGTTTGTTTGGGGTTTTTTTTTTTTTTGAGGCAAAATGTCACCCAGTAGCCCAGACCAACCATCCTACTTCAGCCCCTTGAACATTGGGGTTACCACCAAACCCAGCTCAAGAATGTTTTTAGAGTGACACATGATGGCAAACTCCTGTAATCCTAGCACACGAAGAAAGATCATCCTAAATTTGAAACCAGTCTGGTCTAATATAGCAAATTTCAAGCTGGGAATGGTGCCACATGCCTTTAGTTCCAGCACTCAGGAGGCAAGGGAGGCAAGGCAGATGATCTCTGAGTTTCAGGCCAGCCTGGTCTACACAGCCAGGGCCACACAGAGAAACCCTGTCTCGAAAACAACATCAAAAAAGAGCAAGTTCCAGGCCAGAACACACTGTGTGAAGATCTGTCACTGTGACTGGTTTAAATAAAAGCTAAACAGCCAATAGCTAGGCAGGATTTTCAGGGCAGAGAGAATGCTGGGAAGAAGGATGTAGAAGCCAGAGAGCCTCGAAATGAGTGGGACACATAAATAGGATAGAGGTAAAAGTCACATGGTCGAACATAGATTAATAAAAATATGGGTTAATTTAAGTTATAAGAGCTAGTTAAGAACAAGCCTAAGGTATCAGCTGAGCTTTCATTGTAAGAAGTCTCCATGTAGTTATTTGGGAGCTGGCAGGTCGGACAGAAAAAGCATACCAGCTCTGAGGATCTGAGTTGGATCTTACCCCCTTCCCCTCGGAGAACTGACTCTCCACAAGCTGTCCTGACATTCACTTGAGAGCCCCAACTTGTGCCTGTCTGTTGTTTCCACCTACATACACATACTTACACACAATCAATACATAAACGTAGTTTTAAAAATTAGCTTCAAACTTAAAATTTACCTTCATGGCAAAACTAGATGGCATCATGTTCTTAGGCCACTCAAATTCTGTTGTGTGAATACGTATACCAGATTCAAGTAACAATGTAGCTTTAAAATCAGGTCTGTTCAAGAGAAAGTCAAATTTTTCTTTAGGGAATTGCCAAAGCTTACTCTCTGGAAAAAAAAACAAACCTAAAATGCAGGTTAAAAACCAACAAGAATGTCATTTTTTTTTTTTTTACCAAAAGTAAGTCTATAAAATATCCTTACTTTTGAAGCCGAATAAGATATGTCTTGTTATCCACATCATAAACATTGTTTACTCTCATCCCTAGCAAGCTGCAAAGATAAAAAGAAACAAATAACAAAATCATGTTCTTGTTTGAAGCAAAACTTTCCGTCATTTATTAAGGTTGAGGAAGGGGTATTCTTCAGTAGGATATCAGGACCACCTGCTAAGGTTATCATCCAAATAGACATTTAAGCACAAAAATGGTCTGTTGGCCTCAGGAACACCAGATAACTGCCTTCATCTGAAACAGCCCAGGACTTCGGGGGAAATACAGTAAAACTTAATCTCACTGATTTATTACGAGTGAGAGTAGCCGAGCCCCACGAAAATACGACAAAGCTCATACAGTCAAAGACAAGTTCAGCATCCAGGTCCAAAACTGCGAATTACAGCTGGGGGTAAAAAAATGGCATGGGTCCCCCTCTTTGGGATGGAAGGACGGGAGTTCCGAAGAAACCAGGCCGCCAGTACGGGGCAATGGCCATCACTCTGGCACCTCCAGTGTTTATCAGATCGACCCGGCAGGATCCCGCTGGGCCAGCGCTAGGGACAGGCTGCAGGCGGGCACACGTCCCCGGGGGTCTCCCGAGGGCCCCGGCCCCGGAGGTCGGCCCCCAGGCCTCACCAATCCCCGGGGCACGGGGACGACCGCGGGGATCCCGGGCCCGTCTCGCGGCCACCCGGTGCCCGGCCTCTGCTTCCCGCGCTCCTCGCGCGAGCCTGCACACCCCGTACCACCGTACCACCGAACCTGGCATTCAGCTCCGCGAGCACCGCGCGGAGATCAACGGTGCTGAAGCGGCTCTTCATGGCTAGGGTCCCGGTCGCTACCGCAGTCCTCTCGGCTGCTGACCCGACGCCCGGCCGCTAGGCTTCTGCGCACGCGCGCTTGGCTCGTCTCTACGGCAGCCCAGACGACCCAATATTTCTTGAAGCGAAAGTGCGTCGTGTGACTGGGAATTTTGGTTCAATCATGATCAGCTCGTGGTTTTTTTGTTTTTTTGTTTTTTTCCCCACTGTATTAAAACAACTCGAAATAGGGCCAGCTACCTTCTCGAAACCGCGTCCCTTCCTTGAACATTGACAGGATTAGTTCATGTCGACCTCCACAACGGCACAGCTTGTCAGTAACAATTTTGAAGCGAGTTGGAGGAGAATTTCCCCTGGAGGGCGCTGGCGCTCAGGGTGGAAGAACAAGGGCACTTTCCAAACGCGATTTTGAGCCCAGAGAAAACCCGCATTGTTGGCATTTCCGCATCCAGACGAGTCCCTAGAGAGGGGTTCCTCTTTTGATGGGTAGGACCCGAAGTAGGATTCTGCAGCGTACTGCAGGATTCTCATTCAGCTTGAATGTGGTGGGTGTGCTATACAGCCTGAGTTCCATAAATTCTTACCACCTCAAATATTCAAGAATTTAGCTAAGATGTCAGATAAAAATAAAGCGTGAGTTCCTGTGGGAGAAGGAGAATAATTACTCCTCGCCCACATCCCAGCGTTCTCTGAACTTCTTCTGGTTCTGCGCGCTACTGATTCATGAATTATTCCGGGTCCAAATATATGCTAATTAATTAGTCTATTTTTTTTTCTTTTTTAAAGTTCTAGTATTAGTAATAAACAAATTTAAAGAAGAAAGATCTATTAGTTTTGGACAGTAAAGGGCGTGTGTGTGTGTGTGTGTGTGTGTGTGTGTGTGTGTGGTTGGTTTTGAGACAGGGTCTTGTTACGTAGTCCAGGCTGCCTTAGAATTCTCTATGCTCTTGCCTCAGCTGAAATTACCAACACTCTTAGCAAAGCGGGCAAACTTTAGACCAGTGATGTGTGTACTTAGAAGTTAAAAGTCATAAGCATTCAAATGACCGATGGGTGAGACCCTGCAGAACAAAACACCAAAAGCAGGAAAAGGGTCAGATTAGTATATCTAAATACATAAGGATTTTTGTAATTATTATTTGGAGTTTTTTGAGACAGCGTACTGTCAAGGCTGGTCTAAATGCACCATATAACCTAGGGTGGCCTCATACTCCCTCACCCAGTCTCCTTGGTTTTGGAAATACAGGTACACACTGCCATGCCCACATCATAAGCCTTCAACATTGGCAAATGTCTTGATCTGTTTGCTGTTGCTGTAACAAAATGCCAAAGGCTAGACGATACATAGTTTACTTCCTTCACAATTTGGAAAGCTGGAAATCTGAGATGGAGTGGTCTTGTCTGTTTCAAATTTAACGAGGGTTGTCAGGCTGCATCACGTGTGAGAAGGAGGGAACAGTTACAAGGGGAGACAGGACACAGCAGGGACTCAAGAGGCCAGGCTGCTGCTGCTGCTGCTGCTGCTGCTCTTTTCTTCTCCTCCTCTTCTTCCTCCTCCTCCTTTTCTTGTTTTGTTTTGTGAGACAGGGTTTTTCTGTGTAGCCCTGGCTGTCCTGGAACTTACTCTGTAGACCAGGCTGGTCTGGAACTCACAGAGATCCTCTTGCCTCTGCCTCCTGAGTACTGAGATTAAAGGTATGCACCACCACACCTGGCCAGGCTGCTCCTTATGAAAGTTTTCTTTCATGGGAGTGAAACTGTTTTCTCCCGAGATACAGGGACCCCAGTGTTCTCACCACCCACCTGGTAATATCTAAGCCCCAACCATTAAAGATTCTGTCACCTCTACACCACTTCGCCTGGCACCAAGATTCCAGCACTCAAACCCTATCCATATCACAGCATTCTGTAATGAGCATAAAAATTTTTTTTCTGTCCTAAATACAATTAGAAGGTTCAGTGTATGGCCAAAACACATCCAGAGACACAGGCATGGGGGAAAGAACTGACAAAAAAGTGACCAACATAATATATTTAAAATAAAATACAGGCATGTTACGGAAGAGAGCAACAGACAAGAATCTCTTCAGTTCTCAGGGTTTTGTTTTTTGTTTTGTTTTGTTTTGTTTTTGCGTACCCATGAAGCTTTACTCTCTCTGTAAACGGCTCCTGTTACTGTTGTAACAGCCACAAGTGTGGAGATGGAAAGAATGCAAGGCCTTGTCCATGCACAGCATCCAGGGATGGGTCTGACTAGGGCAGTAAGGGAATGAAGAAAAAGATAGACACACAGACAGAAAGCTGGGATCAAATGGCCAGGGCTCTCTGCGGGAGAAACGCCAGCCCCTGCCCTGAGCTCAGCGTGTTTATTATCTAGAGTTGAACAGAGAGGTGGGTTATTGTATACAGTTGAACAAGGAGGCAGAGTTTACGGTATACAGCTGGAGACAGATTTAGCTCGTCTCAGTAGGGGCAGTCTCTGTAGAGGAGCAGTCTTCAGACTGTAAATACATAGAGGGAAAAAGCTATGGTGGACATTTTCTGCATACACTGCCAACATCCATACTTGGACCAGGGGAAGACTTTGCCATGCCTCTGAACCTCACCCTAGGGGAAGGCTTTGCCATGCCTCTAAACCTCACCCTAGGGGAAGGCTTTGCCATTCCTCCCGGGTCTTAATGGGGGTCTTTGGAGTCCCTCCCTATGACTGTGCCTATGTCAACAACCCATACTCACTTGAGGCTTTCTCCACTCCTATAACACGAGTTTATTCTCTGAGCGTTCTGAGGGTCAGAGGTCCCAAAGGGGTCTGCAGAGCTGCATTCCCCCCACCCCCGTGTGTGTGTGTGTGTGTGGTGTGTGTGTGTGGTGTGTGTGTGTGTGTGTGTGTGTGTGTGTGTGTGTGTGTGTGTGTATGTTGGGGGGGATGTCTCAGGAAAATCCCCTGCATTTTCTCTCACAGCTCCCAAAGTTGCCATATTCTTTCATCAGTGATCCTGAATGGCTTTGATCTCTGCTTCCAGGTATATCTCCTTCCATAATTCTAGCACTCTTGTCTTCACATAGGGACCCTTGGATTATATTTGGCCCCATCAGAATAACCTTTCTACCTCATGACCCCAAAGTTACTGGAATCTATGAAGTCTTTTTATCCCTCCTGTGTCTGTATGGCCATTTCCAGATGTTAGCATACAGACATCTTTTGAGGAGAGAGGAATTACGCCACTTGTCACTCTTAGGTTCCACAAAGCTGAGAAGTTCTTCTAAAAGTCTCAGAAAGGACTAAGGGGGTAAGAATTCCAGGGCTAAGAAGGAAGCTAGCTACTCTGATGTGGTACTTACAGGCTCAACTAAGCTGCTATGGCTCAAATTCAGGGACCTATTTAGAAGAGGAGGAAAAAAACAAAAAACAAAAGCAAAAAACAAAAACCAGAATGAGATATACCAAAATTGTTTTGTCTCTGTTTTTGTAGTAGGGAGACAGTACGTTTGTTGTTGTTTTTAATATTTGGCATCTCTGCTGTTTCCATCTAGTAAATATGTATGACTTAAATTCCTTCTGTTCTTTTGCAGTGATAAGGATAGAGGCCAGACCTTATGCATTCTAAGTTAGGACTACCATGGGCTACATCCTTAGGCATGGCGTCCAAGTTTTTAAAAGTCATTCTGTATTCATCTGCAATAAGACTTATCATCACAAATGAATGCAGAGGCATGCATTAAAAAAAAACAAAAAAAGCTCAGAAGACATAACAGAAAAATCTCCAGCTAAGGACTGAACGCGGGAACACAGACAGCTAAATTTATCACTTGCCACTAAGCTGCAACTCAGCGTAGTAAGCTGCTTGGGAAAGCACTTTTTATCAGATGGCAGTTTTTCTCCAGCCGCTTTTAAACAAACTAGCAGCCCCTGCTGGTTCCTTGGGTAATAACATCTGTTTTGGGATATGTTTTGATTATCCTCCGGTAGGAGTCAGTAGTGAGAGGCTACAAGTCCCTGAAAATCTTGCGCGAACCTGTTACGTTTTAACCCCAAAGGAAATATAAAACCGGTAAATACACGGGGGGAAGAGTGGGAACGAGGAAGCCAGAGATTTAAGTTAGAAAAAAAAATGGCAGTATATATTTTTAAACTTTGTGTTAGCCAATTCCTTTGAAACCTAAAAACATAATTTTTCCGAATTTTCTTAACTTTAGAGAGCGAAATGCCATTTTAAACAAACAAACAAAAAAACCCGCAGTGGTAGATAGAACTAAAAAGAGACGGGGTCTCGCTATGTTGCCCAGGCTGGAGTGCAGTGGCTATTCACAGGCGCGATCCCACTACTGATCAGCACGGGAGTTTTGACCTGCTCCGTTTCCGACCTGGGCCGGTTCACCCCTCCTTAGGCAACCTGGTGGTCCCCCGCTCCCGGGAGGTCACCATATTGATGCCGAACTTAGTGCGGACACCCGATCGGCATAGCGCACTACAGCCCAGAACTCCTGGACTCAAGCGATCCTCCTGTCTCAGCCTCCCGAGTAGCTGGGACTACAGGCGTGCGCCACCGCGCCCGGCGGTCGGGAACGCGGCCGGGGAGATACTAGAGCTTCGGGCTGGCGTGACGTCACCGGAGGCGGGGCGAAGCCTTCGGTCACAACGCCTCAGACACGCCCAGCGCCGGGCGGTCTGGGGGCCGAGGCGGCGTGATGTCACCTGGGCCCGCCTTCTTCCGCTGGAGCCAGGCGTTTTGTTCCAAGTCCGTGCGTATTCTTCAAAAACTGGCCTGTGTTTTCTTGCCCGTAGGTGTATACGCCGCAAGAGGCGAAGGCAGAGCACCGATCCCGTTGCTCTGCATTGCGGTTGTTTCTGAGGCCCGAAGTCCCTGCTGCATCTTTTTGGGAGATGCTGCTTACAAGCGAGCCATCTAAAGGCTGTGTAGCACGACCCCTAGCGGCAGAGGTGAGGGGTTCGCAAAGGTGCCGAGACTAGCGGGGTCTTCACTGGAAGGAAGGAAACCTAGGACGTCAGTCTCCCCGCGCCTACCCCTGCTTTCGGTTCCTCTGTTGTTGGAGGAAAGAGAGCAAGTGGGCAGACGGGAGTGGGCGTGGATTCCTTACAGTTG